CCGGGGACCTCGAGCGGGCGGAGGGCGGCCGCGGCCCGAGCGCGCCCCGCTGATGGGGCCGCGCTTCTTTCCAGCGCCATGGGCAGCAAGAAGAAGGAGATCGCGCTGCAGGTGCGCTTGGGGGGACGGGACTGGAGCCGGGGTGGGGCGGGGGGTTGCACTCTGCAGTGCGACGTTCTCTTGTTAGCACTGTGTGTCAGTGTTCTCAGATTTGACTGTTGTACCCTTCTGTCTTAAAATTTGAAAAAATGGCTTCAGACTACTAGTGATGACAAACTTTATACTGTACTTATGCACATGCACATTGTACACACGGGGCAGAAGCTTTTTTTTTTTTTGTCTTGTTTTTTGTCTTTTTGAGACAGGGTTTCACTACGCAGTTCAGGCTGTCCTTGAACTCTCTCTGTAGCGCAGGCTGGCCTCGAATTTGCAGCGATCCTCCTGCCCCAGCCTCCTGGCTGCGATTACAGACGTGCATTACCACGCGCTGCCAGAAGCGTCTTCTTTTCTTCTTTTTTTCTTTTTTGCTTACAGCGTTTATACAACCATAAGATCCAAATGTGGGTTAAAACTACAAAATCAGGAAAAGAGGAACCAGCATAATCCCATGTGACTGTTACACTTTGTTTGAAACACAGTTGCAGCTTGCTTAGAGAACGTGAAACAAATTCTTTTGGGTTTGGACATCATCTGCAGCACTGCTCTGTGTAGACCTCTCTACGCATGCACTTACTAACAGTGTTTGGGGGTATATTATGCGATGCGTGCTTGTCATATAGAGTGCCTTATCTCATTTGCATCGAGGGCAAGTGAAACTGTAAGCCATTGTCGGCTTTGCTTTTTTTTTTTTTTGGACCTGGACAGTAAGTAGTGGCTGATGGTAAAGTCGTAGTTTAAAAAAAAAAAAGGCAGGCATGGGCCCTGGAATTGGGAAAGTGATTTGTTATGAGATCATTTGCTGGGGACAGAAGGGGACTGGCATCCCCTCCCTGCTTACATGGAGACATCTGTGTCATTGTCAACTCCCTCTAAAGTAAATCTTTTGACGGCAGTGCCGAGGCTCAGCCAACTTGAAACACTGTCCTCTCTCTTGGCAAGTTTATTTGAGGTTCCTTCTGTGACTAATGCAGCAGTCACAGGGCATCCAGAGAGAACCTGGTCAAAAGATGCCACACATTCCCATCCACTCCCTACTGGATGTGGAAAAAAGTGGAGACCGAATATATCGAGTATTTCCCATACTTTCCTGCTCTTCCCCTGTGTCTGGGGCGAGATTCTTCAGCTGCCAGAGGCCTGCCCCAGGGCCGGTGTGGGTCACTCTGTGGCAGGGTTTGGGCTGGGCTCTTGTGATCCCCCTACCACTTGCCCCGGGACTGTAGTTGTGGGTCCACAATGACATCAGCCCAACTTGCTTACACCATTTATGGCATCAAGAGGACTTCGTTCTTCCGTGTGTGTGTGTGTGTGTGTGTGTGTGTGTGTGTGTTCCTGGGGACTGAACCCAGGGCACTGTACCACTGAGCTATGTCCCTAGCCTCCAGAGCTTGTATTTTTATATCTACATTTCAAAACACAGTCTCACTGAGTTGTCCAGGATTGCCTCAAACTTTTGATGGTCTTGCTTTAGTCTCTTGATTAGCTAGGATTACAGGCTTGTGCTACCATGCTGCTTTTTCTTTGGATTTTTTAAAAAACAGAAACAAAAAAATGAGTATATTTCCTTAAAAAGACGGACTTTTAATAGAAGATCTGCAGGTGTTATATGCTGCCTGCCATTACAGTAGATAATATGTCCTGTTTTTCTAAAGGGACACAAACTTTAGCATAGGTGTACTCAGAAGCAGTTATCATTATCACGGTCTTCTAATGTATTTAGTTGCAAAGTAGCTCCCCATGAAAACTTATTACTACAGAGGGAAAGGAAGTAATATTTTAGTAAAGGAGACTGACAGACCGCCTTGATCCGGTGGTAAAAGTGTCAGAAACAGGCAGATGGAAATTGGGTATCACCCTATGGGATAACATGAGAACTCATCTCAGCTTCTGAAACACTTCAACCTAGATGCATCCTCTGAGACCAGTTAGCACGAAACAGACACACTCAGCTGGGGGACAGTCTGCAAAATAATTGGCATATAGTTTTCAGAAGTGTTAAGGTCAAGAAGATAAAAGAAAGGCTGAAGAATCACTCCAGACTAATACTACAGAGGTTTGACCAATAAACCTAGCACATGATCTGACTAGCTCCTTTGCCACTGACGATGTTCTTGGGATGACATGTAAAACTTGGATGGTACCTAAGGATTAAATGGTAATAATATATTAGTGGCCTCTATTTTAATGATTGTATTGTGATTATGTACATTCTGGGGGGTGGGGGTGGGATATCATGTGACAGTTTACTTTCGGGTAACTTACAAGTACTGCCAGATGTTCTTTATGCTGTACTTGGAATTTAAAAACGCAAGTACCGTTCTTTACATTGTACTTACAAGTGCAAATTTTCAAAGTACAAATGTATCTTGTAGAGCGTATACAGACATGTATACTGTTAACAAGAATGGATAATAGGCATTTCTCCTTGCATTTCATACGTAGTAAAATCTGGAATTCTTTGTAGGTAAGAGAAAAATGTGAGAAAAAAGAGAAAAAGGTGAACGAGTAGCAATAGACTCAACTTTTAATTATTTCTGATAGTGAATGGAAACACAAATTGCAAAGGGAAACCTAAAGTATGATACTGATTGTATATATTTTAAAAACAGCAATTTTATATATTGTTTCTGGACAAAGAACATCCAACATTATTTTTTTCAAATGCCTGAGAATCAGGAAATACCAAGTACAAACCGTTTTTAGGCTAATGGTTTTTCCTGGGGAGAGAAACAGAAAGAAAGGGAAGTAGAAAAGAAGACTGGGGAGAAAGTGAGGTCAGCTTGATCTCTGTTTGTAAGTATTTCAGAGACAAATCTAGAGAAAATACATTAACTCGGTTCCCCATCTGTGGACTCGGTGGTCCAGCCATTTGCCTGTTTGCCTCTAGGTCAACATCAGCACCCAGGAGCTTTGGGAAGAAATGCTCAGTTCCAAAGGACTAACTGGTAATTTAAAATAAAATATCTCTTAAATATATTCTTTTTAAAATTGTTAAGTGATGTGTTGAACCACGAAGAGAAAGGCTGCAGTGAGTGCCGTTGTCCTGTAACTGGGAGCCTCATAAGAACCGGGTGATTTCTTTGTGGCTATGTATAAGTAGTTCCCCCTTATCTGAGATTTCACTTTGCAGTTTCAGTTACCTGCTGTCAACCACAGTCCAAAAATACTAAATGAGAAAATTCTAGAGCTGCATAATTCGTAAGTTTTAAATTGCATGCCATTCTGAGTAGCATGGGGAAATCTCATGCACTGCATCTGGAACATGAATCATCCTTCGGTCCAGTGTATTCATGCTGTATGTGCTGCCTTCCCGTTAGTCTCTTAGTAGTTATCAGTTTAACTATCTTTGTGTTGAAGCGCTTATATAAGGTTTGGTAGTAGCAAAAGTTTCAGGCGTCCACTAGGGGTCTTGGAACGTGTCCTCTTAGAATAAGGGGGGAATATTGTATTTACATCTGGCTTGAACAACATAAATTCAGGTCAGGAAATGAGGCAGTGCTGTCAGACAACAGAGTTCTCTTGTTTGAGAGCTGGCTGCCACACTCAGGATAGTTTGGTGTTCAGGCATAGAAACTTCTTCTCATTACCTGAGAATGTACTAGAAGGAAAATGAGAGTCTCTTGGAACTCACGGGGTGGAGAGAGAGCCAGGAACCACAGCTAGGATTGTAGTCATCAGGAAACAAAGCAGCCGCTGTGCACGGACTTCCTCATCCCTTTCCTCTTTGTGTCAGTTACATATTGCTGCGTAACAGTGTATCCCCAAACCAGTGGCTCAAAACAACAAACACTTAGTGCCCCACAGTTTCTGTGGGTGAGGAATCCAGATGTAGCTTAGCTGGGTGCCCACAGGCTCTCACAAGGGTGCAGGAACGGTGTCGGAGGATCTCAAGGCTTTGGGGTAGGTTTGCTTCCTTAATGCATCTATATGGCTGTTAGCTGACCTTAGAAGCTCTACTTCCAGGTTCACTCACGCAGCTGTTTGAAGGTTCAAGTCCTCCCTGATTGTTGGCCATCGATTTCTCACCATTCCTGTTTCACGGCAGCTGCGTAGGAACTGGCTTCCTCCAGAGCAGGGCTCTGAGAGGGCACCAGGTGGAAAAAGCCTTGTTAGCCTCAGCTCAAAGGCACCCCGTCCGGCTCCCATTTTTTTCAGACAGGGTCGCATCTGTAGCCCAGATCAGCCTTGAACTCGCCGTGCAGTAAAGGCTGGCCCTGAATTGTCATCCTCGCACCTCAGCCTCCTGAGGGCTGGGATACCGTTTCCGGCCACCATTCCTGGCTCTTTTCCCTGCTTTTTAACTGGGAATTGAACCCTGAAGCTTATGCATGCTAGGGAAGTGCTCTGCCACAGAGCTACATTCCAGCCTTTTAAAAAATTTTCAAGACTTGCTAAGTTGCCCAGGCTGGCCTTGAATTTGCCATCCTCCTTCCTAAGCCTCCAGAATAACTGGGGTTACAGGCGCGCGCCACCACGGCCAGCTTTTTCTGGACACTGTCATTCTCTGTGTGTCTGCTCATTTCTTCCTATAAATAGGTCAGTTCACATCTGCTCCTATCCTTTGGGGTCTCCAGTCCCCACCACACGATCTTCAGCATTTAAGAACTCTCCCCCCTTAGGGTTTCATCTGTCTTTTCAACCCCTTCCTGTTTCCTGAGGTGTGTCCTGGGCCCTGACACTTTCCTGAACGTACCACAGGTTTCCCCTTCGTCACATCACTGGGGTTGCGAACATCACAGTCCATCACGACCTGTAGATCCCTTCCTCATGCCCCAGCTCTGCTGTAGCCTTCCTGCTTGGCATCTTTCCTGAGCTTCTGTGTCACTTCCTCCAAGGAGCCCCTAGGGCTCTGTCAGTCCCCACCCCACGCACACCTGGTTAGATGTGTGCGCTATCTTGCCCTGCCCCACCTCTGACACAGTGGCGCTGGCAGCCAGGTGTGGTGGTGCACGCCTATAATCCCAGCACTCAGGGGGCTGAGGCAGGAGGATCTTTGCAAGTTCGAGACCAGCCTGGGCTACAAAGCGAGGCCAGCCTGAACTGCGTAGTGAGACCCTGTGTCAAAAAGACAGAAACCAGAACCAAAATAAACAGTGGCGCTGGCTTTTTCATCTCAAAGACTTGCCCACGCCTGCGGCCAAGTGGGTTCTAAGTCAGTGCTGGTCGCACCCACCCTGTTCTGTGGGTCTGAGTATTGCCACACTGCCCTGCTTGCAGGGTTGTAACGCTTTTTAATTGTGCTCCTGTGCCTTAGCTGGGCAACTGGAACACAATGCCAGGCTAAAGCAAATCATTACTTCTATTTCTTTAACAATAGTGGTTTTTTAAGAATATGCCTTGTTCTGGGCCCCCCTTGTGTGATGGTGGCTAACCAGCTCCTGAGCATCGGGTCTGCTGAGCCCGTGCTGCGTGGTTCTTGGACCTTTGCGGACTCACGGAGGAAGGGCTCTTTCCAGCCCTTTGCACTAGGCAGGCTAGAGAAACGCACACTCCCACTCTGCCCGCACTCACACCACACACACTCACACAAGGGGTTTATATTCCTCCCGCCTTCTGGAGCAACATAAACCTGCTTCCAAAGCCAGCCATTGTCTGGGAAGCCCTGCCTTCTCCCGGCCCAATTTCATCTGCCTCCTAACGTGCAAAAGTCTTAAGTAGGTGTGTACACGCAAATGCGTGTGTGTGCATACACACACACACACACACACACACACACACACGTGTTCTTCGTCTCTGCTGTTCCTTCCAGGTGTCTTCTCTGGTTTGGTCCCTCTCTTTCAGGGTCAGTCCCTGCAGGCTTCACTCCGCATTGCCCCATAACCTTCAAAATGTGCCTTTGTCCCCTCAGCTCCTCCCACAGCCCTGGAGGATACAGGGGTACCGGAAGCTGGTAGAAATGATAGGTAACAATCACTATGAATACTGCACAGAGATTGTAGTGTAATTGCAGCGCTTTTTTTTTTCTTTTAACTTTGGGGCCTGACTCTGCCTTCCTCAATGGGCCTTGCAGGGTCTTGAGTCTGCAGAGACCTTTCCTTGGCTTGCCCCCAGTGCCCTGTTCGGTCTCCATGCGCATGACTGTGCGGTGTTGAAATCCAAACGCCTGTCAGTTGTGAAAGTCCTGTTCTCAGAAAAGCGTTAACCTCCACCTGGACGACAGCGAGGGCCCCAGTTCTGCTCTTGCCCCCAGTCTCCTTCTGGGCTTCTGGTTGCCTTTGTGACCTTTGTCAGTGATTTTCTGATTGGCATCAGAAACCCAGCTCATCTAGAATTGAGTTCACTGCAGCCATCCCTGCCCACCCACCCACTCCTTCTGTGCCAGGCTCAGGGTGGGGTGCTTTTCATCCTTTCCATGCATGCTTGTTTTTCATCCCCGGTGTTTCTGCTTCCTTTTGTTGTTGTTTTTTTTTGTTGTTGTTTCGTTTTTTGTCTTTTTGAGACAGGGTCTCGATATGCAGTTCAGGCTGGCCTGGAGCTTACTTTGTAGCCCAGGCTGGTCTCAAACTCACAACCAATCCTCCTGCCTCAGCCTCCCAAGTGCTGGGATTACAGGTGTGCGCCACCACGCCCAGCTCTGTTTGCTTTCCAGTCTACCCTCACGCCTGCCACCCACCCCTGTCTGCCCTCCTCCCTCCCCCCATGGTCGGCCTGGACCTCACTCTCTGTGGAACTATGCCATCTGGAGGAACCAATCAGTCACACTCGTGAGCTGGTGACTCCTGCCCCTTTCCAGGAGCAGTTGAAAGAGCTTGCACTGTGGGATCAGACAGACTTGGCTCAAAACTTTGCTGTGTGGTGGTTTGAACGTGTCCCCTCCAAATGTTGAAACTTACAGGCCACTGTGATGGTGTTAAGAGGTGGGGCTTTTCCTACTGTCTCCCCGAGACTGCGTACTGTGCCACCATGTGGGCCGGGCACAAACCCTGTGCGTGGGAAGGCCGGTGGCAAACATCCCTTCTCTGAAATGTGGCCACGAGTGAGTCATAATCTAGCACTTGCTGCTGCGTCATGATCAGGCCGGGCAGGTCCTCAATGTGTCTGGTGCGCAGAGGCGCTGGCCTGCACCGCTTCCTACGGGCCTCGTGGTTGCCAGGTGGGCCACCTTAAGGAGACGATGTTCTGTTGTACTTCGTTATATTTAGAGTTCAGTATAGTGAGTCCATAAGAATAAGAGAAAACTGTGTTTCCATGCAGCTTCATGATCAGGTGGGATAACAAATCCCCTTCTCCAGTGAGTACCCCCGTAAGCAGATACCCATTTGAGGTCTGGGACATGCAGGAATAAACCCCGCTTCTTGGCTCCATGCAGTTGTTGACGTCTACCAAGGCTGGTGTGGGCCCTGCAAGCCTGTGGTGAGCCTCTTCCAGAAGATGAGGATGGAGCTTGGCCTGGACCTCCTACATTTCGCATTAGTAAGATTCTTGGCAACAGCAGGACCACTGCAAAATGAAATGGAAACATAGTAACGAAGGGGAAGCGTGCACTGGCCTTTGCAGATCACCGAAAGGCATCGGTTGCTGATGCTGCCCTGATGCCCGATGATTATGTAGAGAAGTGACCTCCCCGAGGTCCCGTTGGCTTGGGCGGTTTCTTGATGCTGTGTGAAGGGCAGGAGTGCATGCCTTCCAGTGCACATGCTCCGTCTGGGTTCATGAACACTGTCTCTTAGGGGAGGTTAACTCCGAGGAGGAGGAGGAGGTTGTGTGATGTTCTGCCTGAAATGTCACTTTCAGAGCACTTTCCATTCTTTGCTTTATCAAGGGGCACCTCCAGCAGACATTACTTGGATTATGTGTGTCAGAGATGCTGTTGATATACAGCATGTGTTGGAGGGTCAAAGGTACTAAAGACAGGAGATAACTTAATGCCAATCTTTCTTTTTTTTTATGGTTTTTTTTTTTTTTTTTTTTTTTTTTTTTTTTTTTTTTTTTTGTTTTTTCTCCGGTACCAGGAACTGAACTCATGACCTTGCGCTTGCCAGGCAGGCGCTTTGCCGCTGAGCTAAATCCCCAGCCCTTTTTTTTTTTTTTTTTTGGTGTTTTTGAGACAGAGTCTCCCTGTGCAGTTCAGGCTGGCCTTGAGCTCACTTTGTAGCCCCAGGCTGGTCTCGAATTCACAACGACCCTCCTGCCTCAGCCTCCCGAGTGCTGGGATTACAGGTGCGCGCCACCACGCCTGGCTCTAGTGCCAATCTTTTCAGAAGGTGGACTTCAAGGACTGTGCACTGCCTCCCGTGAGAGGCAGTTTTGGCACCTTCCTAGAGCATGCTGCGCACAGCTTGCCCGGGGGTCTGCGGTGTCCCTAAGGGTGGGTTCATCGACCGTGAAGGCAGTGTCTGAGGACCTCTCACATCTGCTGTTGCCAGTCACGGCTGCAGAAGGGCGTTAGCCGGTGGACTCCCTCCGATGGGTGCAGTCGCTGCGTGCGAGCTGGGGAAGCTCTGCTTTCCTCCTCCCCTGGTTTTTCAAGGCGGTCGGCTGCCAGGAGTTCTTTACCAGTGTGCTGACAGCACAGCTCTGATTAGAGGAGAGTGAGCGGGGCTTCTCCTGGGGAGGTCGGAGTTCCCGTGCCTTACACCCGCTGTGCCCAGGCTCCTGCTGACAGCTTGTTTCCATTAGGCAGAAGCGGATTGTCTGGATGTCCTTGAAAGATACCGGGGGAAGTGTGAGCCCACCTTTCTGTTCTACGCAGTAAGTACGTTACAGTTGCGGTGCACAGAATGTTCAGGAGACACAACATCTGATGGTCCACTCCCTGGACGGAGTGGGTGTACCCTAATGGTTTATTTGGCAGGACCACTTCCTTCTTCCTTGAGGGCAGTGGCTCTGTCTTTTTAAGCTTAACATTTGTACTCTTCACCTTTGCCTACTAAGTGTTTGGCATAGTAAGTGCTTGGCACAGAAAGTGCTCAGTCGATGTTTGTTAATTGAATGCGCCAGGTATAAGTCACTTAGTCACTCACCAATTCTGTATACTGTTCTTTAACTGGCAGTTGCCCTGAAGGAAGCTTTGAAAGGCAGGGCACGGAGTAGAAGGTACAGATCAGAAGGACAGAGAGAAATCATTTTTAATAGGGGAGGGGTTTAAGATAGGGTCTTGCTATGTAGTTCAGGCTAGCCTGGAACTTGTGGTGATTCTCCTGCCTCAGCTTCCCGAGTGCTAGGATGATAGGTGTGTACCACCACACTTGGATCAAAAGAAAATCATTTTACAACAAAGAGCAAACCCAAGGGCATCCCAATGGGACAGCCTCAGAAGGTGGGACAAAGGTGAACACCCACACAGGAAATGGCCGGTGGAGACTGGGCTTGGGGGTCAGTGGGCCTTGACCTTTGACACACTTTCAAGCACACTTGCTGTCTCTTAAGAGAGGTGAGCTGTGGGAGGAGGAGGTCACATGATTTGTGATTCATTTCAGGGAGGACAGCTGGTGGCAGTGGTTAGGGGAGCAAATGCTCCCCTGCTGCAGAAGACCATCCTTGACCAACTGGAGGCTGAAAAGAAGGTGCTGGCTGAAGGCAGGCAGCGGAAGGTGGTGAGTGGAGGTTCTTTCTTTGTGCTACTCTCACCAGTGGTCTCATAGTGGGAAGCTAGAAGTCCCCCAACCCTGCTCCAGGTTAACCTCCAGTTGTCAGCGGAAAGCTTCATAAATACCCCATGCCGGGCCTGTTCCTCACAGAGGGCTCAGGAGAGTATAAAATGCCAGCTGTGATGTGTCTACAATTTGAAGTTTTTAAAAAGTCGTCCCTCTCACCTAGAGCCTTTTAACATCTTTTGCCCATTTCTTTTGCCCACTACTGCAGCTCTTAATAAGCAGTAAACTCAGAAAGGAAATAAATTCACGGGGCTGAGTAGAGGTGTGTTAGCTTTCTATTACTGGAACAGAATTTCTGAGATGATCAACTTAAAAGTGGAAAGGTTTATTTTGTTTCACAGTTTTGCAAGCTCATTTGGACCCCTGCTTCTGGGCCGGTGAAAGGCAGTGTGTGCCATAGTGTGCATGTGTGGTGGAGGAAGCTGCTCACCCCATGGACTCGGGGAAGCAAACATGAAGAGTATCAAAAACCACTGTCTCAAACCCCCGCCAAGGGCGCATTTCCAATTGCCCGAGACCTCCCACTAAATCCTTCCTCTTAGAATTTCTACCACCTTCTGATAATGTCAAGCTGAGGCCAAGCCTTTAAGGTGTGGACCACTTAGGGACACTTGTCCAAACTCTAGGCAGCGGGTAGGAGAACATCCCTTCCACCTCAAGGACAAATCTTTCCTGGTGCGCCATGGACTCCTTCCTAAAGGTTTCACTTGTGACCCCAGACAGTCCATTTCTCTAATTTAGAAATCAAGCTCTGTCATCACCATGAGAAATAGGGACAGCATAGCTTGTGATTTTGAGCAGTTCTTTCCATGATAACACACACTGCAAGTTCCTCACAAATAACTGGACACCTCTGAAATTTGACACACTGTAGACAATTTCAGATGCTTTGCACATCTGCCAAACACACCACTGTTCAATGTTCACATTTTCATACTCAATTCCCAGTAGCAAAGCCCTTTTCTTATAGGATGGATTATAACCGAATCATCTCCCTCCACTGTCCATACTAGCCATTTTTCCTCAAGAAAGAACACTGCAAATGGTCACATTTTCGTGTGGCACCTTCAGGGACCATAATCCATCCCTTTCTTCCCTGCACTAGATAGCCTGTCAGTTAATATTTATTTGCATTTTAATTCTTGGTCATTGTCTTGGTTACTTTCCTTTTGTTGCTGGGACAAAATACCTGATGCCTAAAATTAAGGAAGGGAAGGTTTATTTAGCTCACAGTTTGTGGAGGTTTCAGTCCATACTTGGCAGGTTACAAGGCAGAGTGGCACATGGCAGAGGGCTACAGTTCATGGTGGCAGAACACAGCAAAAGCAACAAGCACAAAAGGGAGGAATGGCGGCAAGCAGCCCCTTCCTCTCCCTTACATATGCAACCTACCCACCCCAGGGTGGGTGTAGCTCTCACACCCATAATCAATCAAACTCTAAAAGCCTGCCCCATGACCGTTTGAGGCTTTGTGGGGGCACCCAGACACAAACCATAACAGTCCTCTTACCAACTATCTAGTTTTTATTTTCCCTTAGTGTCTACATAAACATTTGTCAAAAGAGCTAGAATCTTTGTCAGGCATGGCGGCACACACCTGCAAAGCTAGCAGTCTTGGGAGGCTGAGGCAGGAGGATCACAAGTTCAAGCCCAGCTTGGGCAACTGCCTGACTTGGTGAAACCCTGTCTGAAAATTTAAAAAAATAAGAAAGCGGGCTGGGGATGTAGCTTGGTGTGAAGGCTTTGGGGTCAAGCCCCAGTACTCTTATACCTCCTTCCAACTACTAGAAAAGATCCTGTAAAGTGTCTAAGGTTTTGATAATCTTGACAGCCTTTTACTGTTGCTCTATGTTTTAGGCCTTTTGTTTTTGTTGTTTCTTAGTGTTTTGAAGGTCTTAGTGATAATTTCAACTGGCTAACTACACTCTGCTCATGACCAATTTGTGCTAGATTAAAGACCAGGCTCTTTCTGATGAAGAGGAATGCTTTTCTCATGAAAAAGATGGTGGTGAACATGAGGACATGGGTGAGTGCAGAACCAACAAGCCAGGCCAGAGGAGAGGTGGACTCCAACTGGATGTGTGTTTTAAATTTGAGTGATCTGGTTATCGAGCAGTCGGAACTCTGCCCGCCTAGACTGACCATCAGATGCTTTGCCTCCAGTTGCCTGAGTTCACACATTCCGTGTCGAATCTCCCTTCTGCTCTGTAACAGCGTCCTGGGTATATGTCACATCTCTCCGATGATGTTGAGGTCTAACAAGAATGACTTTCATGGCAGTCACCCAACATCAGGAAAGCGCTGCCTAGTAAAAGGGTAGCAGCAATGCTGGTCATGTAAAACGATGGCCCTGGTGTTTTCTCAGTCCTTATCTGAGCTGGGAAGCTGAAGCTGCTTCTGGTGTCTTTTTCTGAAATACCAGACAGCCTTCCTCCCTGCAGCCCCGCACGCAACACGGTACACCCCACACCCTACTCGTTCCCTTATTCCATAAGTTGCAACTCACAGGATGCACACCTTGGGGCACAGCAGCCCTACCTGGCCTTCCCTCTGGCCACAGCAGCCTGCCAGTGAAGCTGGCCGAGGTGGACAGGCTGCTGCTGGGGACTCATGTCTTGTGGTAACTGGAAAACCAGGCGAACCAGCTTATGTCAGGAGCTGAGCTGATAAAGAGAAGGAAGTTTTAAAATTGTTACCACATGCAGTAGAAAGGCCTTTTTTTCCTGTGTGGATAAGAACCATTTGCGTTGGATTCTAACCAGGAGGGAGACAGTTTAGGAAAGGAAGAAAACTCTTAACTGTGAAAAGAAAGCTAATTGCAGGAGCAGTTTGGTTCCCGCAGGAAACATTTGTTTCCTCCTTTCTGTGTTACAGCGTCTTTCTTCCGGCCTCCATTTCCCTCGTAAACCAGGTCTCTGCAATGTAGGAAACCATAGCGTGTAGCCTTTCAGTTCACATGCTTTTTAGGTTTCCAGAGTAGAAAACCCTCCTTAAATTCCCCAAATTCCCTCCCCCCGAGTACCCGTACCAGGAATTGAACTCACGACCTTGTACTTGCCAGGCAGGCGCTTTGCCGCTGAGCTAAATCTCCAGCCCCAACCCTCCTTAAATGTAGGCATTGTTGTATTATGACACAACCAATATAAGTGGAGAAGCAGAAATGGATGTGGGGGACTGCTGATTCTGGAACCCACCGAGGCCACAATTGTGTATGCAATTACGAAAGGGAGAGGGGCTCCTGGATGTGACCAGACCTGCCTACAGCTCCCTGCAGACCTGCCCACAGCCTGGGGCTAAGCCGTGGCTTTGCTCCCTCGGCCCCTCCCTCCTCGCTCAGCTGATTGGATGGTAGACACTGACCCAAGGGCAGTTAATCCTTTGGCCAGCCAGTGACCCATGACTGGTGCCACTGCTCAATGCAACAAGCTGGGCCTTGGTATGTAGCTCAGTGGTACAGCCCTTGCCTAGCATGCACCTTGGGTCTGCACTACAAAACATAAACAAAAAATGCTAAAAACCAAATGAAATGAATGGGTCAGTTCAGCGATCTCTGGGGAACTGAACTGAGACAGGATTGAAGTAGCTTGTGCTGGAGCTGAGAAGTCAAGGAAAGATAAAATGCAGCGGAAGCAGAGTAGCTACTGGCATTGACAGCAGTTAGAGGCTGAGAATCAGGAGAGAGGGGCAGGGAGGGATGAGCGTGGCTGGGCCCCCGCGCCTCTGCTCCTTGCCTCCACCTGCCCAGCTGTTCAGTTGCTACTGGGCTTCTGTTCCCAGAGTCTTTTTTTTTTTGGTTTTTCTCCGGTACCGGGAACCGAACTCACGACCTTTCGCTTGCCAGGCAGGCGCTTTGCCGCTGAGCTAAATCCCCAGCCCCTGTTCCCAGAGTCTTGCAGCACTTTCCCTGCCATGTGTCCCCTGACCCTGGGTGCACCAAGCCTGTTTCCTTCCCTCGAAGCCAGGTTGAGGTTGAGCTCTGGGGCAGCCTTATACTTTCCTGGAGTCTCGGTCTGCAGGGCACAGCCAGGGGGCCTGGGGAGGGAACGGGGAGCCAAGCCTGTCCCTGCCACTTCCGCCGTGGAGCCTTGGGAGGGGCCGCCTGTCTCTGAGGTGGCCTCCCAACAGCCTCTGAGGCCACTGCCCCTCCCCTCCCCTGCTTGTCTCAGTGTCATCAAAGACCTGTACCCTGGCCATCATTAAACCAGATGCAGTGGTCCATGGAAAGACTGATGAGATTATTGTGAAGGTAAGAGAGGTAACACTGACCCGCACGGCTGTCCTCCTGTCCTTTCTGGTGGATAAACAGAGGTGGGGCATCAGGCAGCAGTGTCCTGGGGTGGGGGCGGGGAGAAGGCATCTAAGGAATTGTAACTCAATTCCACTCAGTAAATGAAAATGGTAAATCTGATTGGGACAGTTACTATGGGTCCCCACGGCTTTTAATGTTGCCTTTATTTATTTATTTATTTATTTATTTTTTACCTTTCAATTAAGTTATATGTAAATTTGGGCTTGATGTACACTTTTGAAATACTTACCTATTCTACAGATCCAGGAAGCTGGGTTTGACATTCTCACCCACGAAGAGAGAAGTCTGCCAGAAGCAGATGTGCGACTTTTGTACCAACACAGAGCTGGAGAGGTCTGTGCACCCTCTGCCAGGCATTCAACACCTCTTTCTTTCACACCTCTTTCTTTCTGTCCTCCAGCATTACACTAATAGATGGATACTCGTTTGGGAAAAGCTAGATTATGATGAATGAGAATATGAACAGCAAGGGGGTCGTGAACTTGCTCTCAGAATGCTTATAGCCTGTGTCAGGTAAAATTTAATGGTGGCAAGGAAAAGATTTTGACTTTAGGTAATGAAATAACAACTTATTACCCTGGGCACGATGGCTATCATCCCTGCTACTCAGCAGGCTGAAGCGGGAGGACTGCAACATTGAGACTAGCCCGGGCAACTGAGAGAGCCCCTCCCGGTCCCAAATGAGAAATGGGAGAGGGGGCACTGAAGATTCAGATCACCGATAAAGCATTGGCCTGGCCTGTGTGAGGCCTTTGGCTCATCCCCAGCGCCACCCCCCAAAGTCTCAGCTGTCTCCCACTTTTGGCTGTCTAATATCCATACATCATTTCCACATATACGGTCTTTTAAATGCTTCTGCATAATTTCTTATAATTATCTTATGTCCAACTTCCGAGTCCACTTAAAGTCTCACTTTTTTGGGTGCCCGGAGAGTGGTTGGTTACCCCCAGCCCTGCTCAGGACCGTCCACAGCGGGCAGAGATGGCCAGGCCGTGGCCGAGTTTCCCGTGGCGTGCTGGCGGGTGGCAAGGCTGCTCACTGGCTCCCTCCCGTCCTGTGGGTAGGGTGGGCTCCCTGGCGTTCTTCAGGCCTCACCAGCTCCTACCGAGGGTCAGCCTTTTCCCTCCCTGCGACTAGGAGGTCTTTGGAAAGCTGGTACGTCACATGTGCAGCGGGCCGAGCCATCTCCTGATCCTCACCAGAGCAGAGGACACCAAGGACGTGGTTACTGCCTGGCGGGACCTCATGGGACCCTGTGACCCCAGTGTGGCCAGGGGGGAGCAGCCCGAAAGGTACTGTTACGGCTGTGGTCCTTCCCCCCATTTGAAAACCTATACCTCACTGGCACTGGGCTAGAGGTGTGGGTCACACAGTGATGGCCAGGAGATGCCCACGTCCTCCTGCTCTGATTGGTGCCCAGCCTTTGCCAAGCACCTCCTGTCCTCCCTGCTCTGCCCTCTTACGGAGGCTGCTGCTCTAGTCAGTCCTCACTGCTGTCACCTCTTAGCCAGAGAGGCCCAGAATACAGCTTGCAGGGCCCGGCTCAGGGCTGCCAAGTCAGAGAGCCTGGGGGCGGCTTGGGAATCTGCGTTGTGGGCTCAGCTCCCCACCCATCCACGCAGGGTGTGCCTCGGCCTTTGAAGCTGAGACCCAGCTGACAGGAAAGGTCTCAGAGGTCCAGGAATTGCAGTTACATCTTACAAGATGCCAAGAGCATTTGTGTGCAAGGCAGCTGGGTTAGAGAAAGAAGCTGGGCTCAAATTCTAGGTCTCATATGCTCAGTGAGTCCCTTCTCGACCTCCATTCTCTCCTCTGTGAAATGGGGATACGAGCAACCATCTTGACGGGATAGAGGCAGTGAGAGAGCTTGGCACACAGAGGTCCTGACATGCTGGTCTCTGCTGGGGTCACTCTGAGGAGTAGTGCTGCCTGGTGCTGGCGCTTTACAGTAGCATTGACAGAACGGCAGCGCCTCGCTTGCATCTTTACTCACAAGTGTTTCGGTGGGAATGGCTCTTGCCCGCCTCGCTCCGCAGAGCGCTACGGGATCCTGCAGGTCAGCCACCCGGCCAGCAGTGCGCCTGTGCATTGTCAGCTACTGCTGTGCCTCTGCAGTTCTTGGTAGTGCTACAAAAAGGAAGCAGTTTCACAGAAATGCGGAGCGCTGATTGGTGCCTGATGGTCATGTTGCCAGAAGCAAAACATTTCTTTTCAAATGCATCAATTGTTTCTTTTACATTCGGCCAATGTTCCCAGCCTCCGGGCCCAGTACGGCACAGAAATGCCCTTCAATGCAGTCCACGGGAGCCGAGACACAGAAGATGCCAACCGAGAGCTGGCATTGCTTTTCCCCAGTTTCAAGTTTTCGGACGAACATACTGAAGCCTTTCAGGGTAAGTTCTCAGGGCAGATTGGTCCTTACTAAGTGTGAAGGGAAAAGGAATTTGTGACTGTGTGCTTAAGTCCGTGTGCGGGTGGGTGGAGGCGACTGATGATGATTTGGTTACTACTAATTCAATCTAATAAAGTCCTGTTCCGAAAATATGGGTCATCGAGTAACTTTAGGATCAATATTAAACTATTTTTGTTTTCCTGGAGTAAGACTGTTGTTCCTTAATACTTCATTCCATCTTTTGCTGCTTATTTCGGAGTCATATTTTCATTGCAAAGGTACTTTGCATTTTCCTGTGGTGACACTGGGAAAATGTACATAACTTCCTAAAGCCTGTTTGAAAGCTGAGTGGGCCTTTCCTGTCCTCCGTGCTCTGTATGCCCTCACGGATCCCCTAGTGGCTCTCAGAGCAGGAGTTGCAAAGTAGGCCCCCGTCCCGGAGCCCTCTGTGGCCCTCTGTTCCTCAGTCCACACTGGCTTGGGTGAAGAGAGCCCAGGACCTTTCCCTTCATGGAGAGCATTCACAGCCTCTAGAAAGGTGCGCCAGACCCATCAGCACCTCCAGATCTGGGTGAGAACCCAAAGCATCCAAAGGACACATGACAGCCCAGTGCCTAAGAAGGGGAAGAGCTGGGCTTCCCCGGTGCCATTTCTGCTGCTGTTACACATCTCCTCCACCTTGAGCCTGAGGTGAGGTTGAAAGGCTGGGAGAGCAGATGAGCATCCTAGAAAAACTACAGGGTGTGAGGCTGGGATCTCTGGGAGGAGTGCCAGTGCAGATCTGACATGGTACTAGCCTGTGTCTCAGGTTGGGTCCTAACCAGTGTATTTACACAAGTGTTTGGTATGCCCGTGGTCTTAATATCCAAAGTCCAACATTGTCAGAATTAGGTGGACAGAGGGTAAGATAAGGCAGGCAAGAGCTGGCTCGTACTGGCCCTTGTTGAATCCTTGTTTTTTCCCCACTGCCAGCTGAGGAGGAAGCTGAGGGCACCAGAGCTTAGGGCGTCGGGAACTCCTAGGAAGTGTGGCTCAAGGAGAGCAGGGTTCAGCCCCGTGCACTTTGTTCCGCAGTCATCCCTGCCACGGCCAGCGCTCCTAGACCCGCACTCACGGTGCCTTTCCTCTGTGCCTGGGGGTCCCAGGAGGCGCACAGGCGTAGCTCCGGGCCAAGTTAGGGGCAGGGGGAGGGTGAACTGGCGGGAAACACTAGCGAGAGTCGTGAGAGCTGGAGCCTCTTTGGCCTCAGTTGGTAACAAAGTCTGAGCCCAGATGGCACCTCAGGAAGGAGTGCCCACATGGCCTTCATCGAGCACTGCTCTGAAGGGGCTTCACTGGGGTTTTGATGTGTTACGTTTTGGGGAGCAGATGTACTTTCTCTTACCTAGCGCTCTTCCTGCCAAGGAGAAGGCCCTAAGGGTAGGGGACTCAAGCTCTGTAGACAGACAGTCCTGAGGAATCCTGGCTCCACGACTCAGCTGAATACCTTCTGGAAAGTCCCTTACCTTTTCTGGGCCTCAGTTTCTTCATCTGTGAAATGGAGATAATGGAGCTAACCCTAAACTAGTACATCCATAAGGATCATCTTCCTCACAGATGAGCCGTGAAGATAAAAGGAGGCAGGATGCAAAGTCAACCTGGTGGCGTGTGTGCTCGACAAATGCTTTCCTTTCTCCTGAGTCCTGGTCCCTAACACACACATGTGAGCTGTGCCTCGTCGCCTGCCCCTAGCTTGGTCCTCGGCGATGTAGTTAGCTCCTCCTCTTCCTGCTTCTTTGTGGACGGTGGGCGGGGCAGGACCGGTTCAGAAGTCCTGCAGAGTGTCTGTCATCCCACAGACGCTGAGGCCGGAGGAGCATCCCTGAGGATGTGAACTGAGATGCTGTACTGTTCTCCTGAGCACGTCACCCCGGGCAAGGCCGTGACGTGAACCGTCTGCGCGCTCGCGTCTGCATGGAAGGAACCGCACAGTAGAACTTCGTGTGCACCAGTGCCTTCTTGGCTTAGCGGTCTTTGTGGACAATGAAAAGAATAGTACTTTCTTGCCATATTAAACAGTATACAGAACATACAACTTCTTTTTCTGGATTTTACAAAATATGCATGAGTTACTGTACTGTGCCGAGACATGGCATCACCTCAGGGGATACTGAGTCACACAGGGCAGTGCCTCCTCTACAGTAAAACTATGCAGTAAACCTACTGATAAACAATTTTAGATGCTAACTCGGTAACTATGAACTCAAAGATGAGTTCAACGAGATGGGCCTTGACGTTGCTAGCACACCGCTGTGGGCCAGGTATAAACCAGCCTTCAGAACAGCCACCTAACCCTGCCAGGTCTGATCTGTCCATCTGTGAGTGGCCCTCCACGAATTGGGACACGTTCAAAAAGCAACAGGAAGTTATACGTGGACCCAGGGTTCACCTGTTTCTTTTTTTAAATTTTTTTTGTCTTTTTGAGACGGGATCTTGCTGTGCAGTTCAGGCTGGCCTTGAGCTCACTTTGCAGCCCAGGCTGGTCTCGAACTCACAGCGATCCTCCTGCCTCAGGTGTGCGCCACCGCGCCCAGCCTCATCTAAGTTTCTTTGTACTTCTCATTCTTTTGCTAGGGCCTAATTTTAGAGCTGAGTGCTCTGAGTGGAGCCAGGCTACCTCCAATTTTCACCAATCGCCAGGCTTCTAAGGGATTTCCTGCGAGGGGCACAGTAAAAGTAACCAGGAAGTCCTGGTAATATTACCAGGCCCTGCCACTCCCTCTTGCCAGTTCGCTCTGTCCTAATGTAAGGTCACCAAGCCCAGGCATTCCCTAGCCTGAGGAGGAAGGCTGTGACCTTCCACACCACGCGGGAGATGCCAGCAACCTCTCATTTGCTGCTTTTCTCTAGAGTGCACTCCTAGGACTTGAAGTTCCTTGAATGGGCAGGGGCTCCCAGAGGACAGCCTGCTATGGAGGCGTTACATTTTCTGGCCTGAGACTGGGTAGGCCCTACCATTTAAGGCCACTGTTGTTTTTTGTGATCTTTTGTCACCTCTGGATGGAGACGCCACGGCCACAGTGCTCATGAGGACCCGCCCAGGGTCCTGTGTGAAAGTGTGCAGCAGGGCGGTAGGGAAGCAGGACCCACTGTTCCAGAAGCCCCAGGCCCACAGCTCACTGTGAGCTTCCCTTGTGCGTGGGCTGAAGAACGGCCTCGGTCTGTTCCCGTATGAGCTGGCACTGACTCTGAGGAGCATAACAGCTCTGAGCTCAGGCTTCCGTGCCACAAGGAGCTCTGAATGAGCTGGGAGCGCTGTTCGCACTCAGCTGACTAGAATCTCCCCAGAAGCCAGGAAGTTAAGGACCTTGCATCAAGGTGAGATGAAAGATGGGGTGACTGAAGCTCCAAAAGCAGGAGGGGGCGCTGAGCTAAGGGTGGGATGCGTTTTTGTCATTCGCGAATCTTTAAACCTTCCCAGAAGGAGCTGGGAGGGTCAGGGCTGGGCAGCGGGGAAGCTGAAGAGGCAGTAGGTGACGGGCCGGAGGGCGAGGACTGGTGAGACACGCTGCCTTCCAATACTCAGCCTGCTCGGGGTGCTGTGGCATCTCCCACAGGTTACTGCCATAAGTGGGGGCGCTGCGTGGGGGCTCCCGAGAGGGGCCTAAGGCCAGCTCACTCTCAGAGGACATTCCCGGTGGGGACTCGGGGCCTGGCTTCTCAAAACACAAGCTACTTTGGGATGGGCCCGAGTGAGCGGTGAGGGCTCTCTGCTCCCCGGTACAGGTGCCTGATGGGAGCCGGCAGGCCGCCCCAGGAGGTCAAGCACAGTGGCTCCACTCTAAGGGGGGCTCTGGCCCCGCCCTCAGCGAGAGGGCTGATGGCCTGGCAATGCCAAAGCCAGGCTTTGGCGGCAGAGCCAGACGGAGGAAAGGTGGCCTGGCAGGCAACTCCGTGGGCCTTGGCGTGGCAGGGGGGGTCCCTGAGCTTTCCCTGGCTAAGTGCTAGACCAGAACTTCCATCGTGTGAGGAACACACACACGCCCTTCTGCTCAGTGACCACGGACGGTCAGTGGAAGGGGCAGGACGGGACAGCGCCAGCCTGGGTCCCAGGTGGGAAGTGCCGGGACCCTTTCCTGCTAACCCTCCCCAGGACCTGCGGGAGGGAGGGTGTGCCCCTTTCCTCTGCTTGCTCGGTGCTCGCTTCCAGGTTTTCCTCACGGTAATCACCAAAACAGCGGCATGCCTCGGCTTCCTATCCGCCCAGGTCCCCTCAGAGCTTGCTTCCTCCAGAATTCCCCTCCTCGCCAGCCATCTCACTGTCCTCCGCTCCCCCACGCTCTGGGGCCGGTACGCTTGGGTTTCTGTCAACAGTGACGCTTGAGTTGGGAGGTGCGGTGCACATTTCAGAGACAGAGAAGGCAGCATACAATAATCGAGTGCACCCGTGTCTCTGCAGCGGGACAGGCACTGCTTGTGCACGGCGCGGAAGGCCCTCCGCCAAGCTCTGACCCGAGTCCAGCAGGTGGCGGCGGTGGTGGTGGTGGCAGTGTGGGGCACCTAAGGCGAGGAGGAAGGGGCAGACCCAGCACTGCGGGGCGAGGGGGCTATGTCTTGGTGGTTGGGAGTGGCCACTCCTCAAAGGTCTGCTGTCTCCAGGAGGCCAGGGAGAGTGGCGTCTCCTGACTGCGGCGGGTGCCTCTGGAAGCCCTAACTGCCCCAAGGCACACTGGATTTCAGTCAGAGGTACAAGACCACTTTTCAACCCTCTGTTCACAAAGAATCACGGTTCCAAAAGACAGCTCACGCCACCGTCTAACGTCTCCTCCTGTTCCCGACACTTGCAAAACAGACTCCTCTTTAGAAGTTGCCACGATTTTTCTTGGCTTTTATTAGCATGTGTTAAAATCATATTATCCAAACACTAAAAGAAGAACATGTACTGTTCTGAATAAAGTGCTTAAGGAAAAAATGCAACTCATTAAACTGGACATTCTTTTCTAGTTCATAAATTCTGGGTTACAATCAGGGCGTAAGAGGAGAGACAGAATGCAGTGTTAGAGCAAGAAGCTTAGTTAGAACCTGGGTAGCAGACACAGGACCGTGACCCCTTCTTCCCACTTCCTTGCTGACTCGCACTGCACCTGTGCAAAGCAGCAAACAGCTCCGTTTTAATAAATACATTTCCCTTCATTCATTCAAATCGAAAGCGAATTATCATAAAGCACTTTTTATTTGCCTACTGTGTTTAGTCACAGGCAAGATTCATCCAGAGTTGAAGTGTGAACATGTTTACTTCATTGGGTCTTCAGCTTTCTAATACTATTTGTGTTCAAGATTGTCTCAGCATTCATTATTGGTTTCCTTCTATTTACCCGGTACTTTTTAGTATCAACACTAGAGTGTTTTGTGTTACAAACGCCAACCATAAATATTTTCTCATTACTAGAAGTGACAATGAGTGGGCTTTATGCCCAATATATTAGATTTTCTTGAAACTGTTTTGCTCACAGTAGCGCTCTGCTATCTGCATAAAACCCATGTTCCTGTTACAATACATTTTAAAATCTGTGAAGTTGTGAAAAAAATAACCACTTGGAAATCTCTGTGTTTGGATCTTGGCTGGTCATGTTGAGAACAGCAAACACTGCATTAAATACATTTTTAAAACATCATTTTCAATCAGTCAGATTTCAATCTTCGGAGGAAGGTGCAGGACGGTGACTGGGTGGCTGCAAAGTGAACCGCCCATCAGGAGTGGCTGGTGGCTGGGCCCGGGGCGCCCTCAGTGGCACACACTCACCGCAAGCTTCTGGATCGAAGGCCTCACATCCTGGCCTTGATGCCTCTGATCTTCTAGCAAAGGGGAAAGGAAGGCTGGTTCTACCTTTAAATAGTCAAGAGCAAACTGTTGAGTTCGCCTGGAAGCTGACCCAGAAGCCGGAGCCGACGCCAAGCTAAGGGCTGTGGAAGGTACTCGCTGTAAAAAGAAGTCATCCTCAGTCATCCTGGGGGGATTCCTTCCTCTCAACTCGAGCTGTTGTAGCTTCATGCAGGAGAAGATCTTGGATCTCATTTGACAAAAGCACACCGTCTAGCATTCCTGAGCAATTAGTATAAATTTGCTGAGAGAGCTAAGAGAAAGACAGCTTTCTAAACGACCTTGTGTTCTTGCTTCTCTCTACAATGTGTCTGTAGAACACTCTAGTTTCACAGTGATATGCTGTTTCAGGAAGCACAAAGTGATCTGACTTTGTTTCCAGGAAGTGACAACCTACATTTAGTTTGAGCATAAAGTTCCACGTCTAAATCTTGCGATACCGCCACCCCCATGACAGGATTTAGGACAGCTCTCAGTGGCCAGTTCCTGTCAGGGGTGGCCCACTGGATCATGGCTGGGCTTTCACTATCAGTAGTTATATTTCCCTTTGACGTTTTACAAAAACTATGGTGAGTCTGTCACCTCATTTCACTCCACTCCACCCTGTTCTTCTGAGTTGGAAGCCTGAAAGCTTACTAAAATAGGCTGAGGAAAGGCTCTGTACCTGCTAATATGGATGGCAGTAAGATGCTAGCAGTAAGATGCTAGCCTACTACTTTGCACAGCACCATGTATAGTGCCTGTTATTCAGGCCAACTATAGCCAACTTTTTCTTTTTTTGTTTTTGTTTTTATAAAGAAAATCTATGTAAGTTGAGGTTCAGAAGTGCATATATTTTTTTTTTTTACTTACAAATATTCATCTGACCAAAATTCAACATAACCTTTATGGAACACTAAACAATTGTTTTGTTTTTAAAATAACATTTCATTCAAACTGTATATAATTCAGTAAAGTTTTTTATACAGCAAGCAATGCTTAAACCCTGGAAAATCTGTAGAAAAGAGATTTTCACACAAAATAAGAAAAGAAAAATCTGAGGTATCCCTCAACCACACATCCACTCATTTTGACTCACATGTACACATACACACACACATACACACACACACTCATTCATTCTCACAAAGTGGCTGCAGCATAGGCAAAAAATTGTAGGTCCAAAGGAAAATGATTGATTGTTCTAATAAAGAGTCCAGGTAGCTCAGAAAAAAAACAAAACAAAAACACAGTCCTCTGAGGAAATTACTACCTCAAAAAATGTTCTCAAGATGAATGAGATCTAAGCCTACTAAACTGCTTTTGCAAAACAGCTCCCTGCAGTCCAAGGTGACTTGTGCAAATAGAAGGAATCAAATGAGGCTAGTTCCTGTACTTCCTTGACAAGGACGTGGGGTGCTCGCACGTGCCCAGGCTGCTCCCATCATGCCAGGTACTGCTGCAGTGCCGTCTTTGCCCTGAAATCACGAAATCACAAAGTGTCTGTTAGCCATCAGCTCAGAAATGTAACTGAAGCAAAAAACCTGTGGCTCAATGATGGTAGCTGGGAGTTTTTAAGAAGGCAGATTCCTCAGAGAAGATGGGGATGAGCCTAGCCGGGCACCTCAAGGGTAGAGGGCTGTAGTCGACAGATACTTCAGACCCAGTCTGGCTGTGTTCTTCCTCCTGTGCTTCCCTCGGACTGCTGTTCTTACTCTTAAACCTGCTGTCACTTGGTGACAATCTGCATTCTCCTACCTGCTGACGTTCCATACTTACGCTCCTTTGTCACTGGCATATACCTGTGATGGATCCAGAATTCTTCGCTTTCTGTTACTGCATGGAGGTTTTATTAGTGATGCACCACAGTAGCGGGGACACTTAGGGCTCTAGATGCTAAGAAGGAAGGAACTCTGACCCAGGAAACAGTGTTATAAGGTAACAGAAGGTACATGGAAGGGGCCAAGAGCCCACAGGACGAGGCTGTGTGTCATGGTCCAAATGCCTCAGATCTGTGCAAGGTTACAATTTCACTCAGTTCTTTTCATCACCTCTGAGGACAGCATCAGAGATCAGTGTGGGACATGGATTGTTAAGTGGGGAAAAAAGACAGCTGGTGAAGAGGAAAGGATGCAAGTGCCTTGACCTATCCAATCCTTCTAAGAGTGACCTCCTTTGAGCTGATCCTAAGAATGCACTTGTGGAACTATTGAGTTGGTTTTAGCAATGGTCTCTAATGGTTACAGAAAGAAAAGACTAAAATTATCAGTTACTATCAGCTGATGAAAATAGTACCAAGTAGAGTGACAAGCTGGAGTCAAGTGTGGTTTCTATAATGAAGTAAGTGGACAGAATTTACAGTTTTTAAAGTGGTACATTAAAGAGTATTCTTACAATTACATAAGACTATAGGGGCTGGGGATTTAGCTCAGGGGCTGGGGATTTAGCTCAGCGGCAAAGTGCCTGCCTGGCAAGTGCAAGGTCGTGAGTTCGGTTCCCGGTACCGGAGAAAAACCAAAAAAAAAAAAAAAGACTATAAAGACGAAGATATGATTAGTCTAAACCACCTGAACAGAAAGTGCTAGATATGGACAAGTTAGGTTCTATAAGGACATTTTCAGAAATAAGATTATGAACCCCTTAATGACCATCTACCTGCCTCCTGAAATCCATGAAGCAGCTAGGATGGAGAACGCTGGTTAGTAAGAGCTCCCCAACTGCAAGTGCTTGAGAGTCAGAGGATCATAAAGATTTAAGGACAAAAGGAACCTGAGGGACGTCCTATTAGATGCCACAACAGAAATGTTACCTAAGGGTCTTGACTGAAATCCTGTATTACTCTTTGAAACTGCCAATGTGAATTCCTTCTAGATCCTACTCAGAGGTTGATTATTTGATTATTATCTGATTTTCTTTCTACTATTATTATCTAAGGAGTCTTTCAGATGGGTGGTTTTGGAAACAAGATCACCTTTCCTTACATGGTCTTAATAGCTCACACCTTGACGGTCCTTCCCTCCTTTTCTTTTCTCCTCCCGACACCTCCCCCACTTAATGCTGGTGAGACATTTCTTTTAGCATTCTAGATCACCCCTGGGACTATTTTAAGTAGAGCTGTTTTCACTCCTGAAGAAGTACCAGAGAAAACCTCAGTGAATGATGTGGTTCAACCAGAAGAGGGCTGACAGAGCCCATCATCTAAGCCAGCAGCTGCAGAGGGGGAGGTACAGGGTCCAGCCCTCAAGTACAAGTTTAAATCCAGCCTTTAGAATGCAGATGGCCTTCATTTGCCTCTGATATCACACTCATGACCAGCAGCCTAGGGCTCCAGTTATTCAAGAACTTGTCTTCTGACTTATAGGACAGGAAGCTTCAGGGAAGCTGAAGACCAGCCTCCTCTGTGTGCTACAAAGAGTCTGGGATAGCTGTCCATTTGAGGAGCAGTTGTAAGTACCTCCTCCCTTCAGCAGAGAAGACAGACAAGCTGGCAGCTGAGACACAGTATGATGTTCTCTGCGGGTGCTATGGGAACACACAGGGTTCCTGGCATAGCCTATGGGGAGAGGAAGTAGGTCAAGCAAGGCTTTTGGAGGAAGTGACAGCAGGATCTGAGATTTGAAGGATGAATGGCCATTGTTTTCTCATTCTCTTCCCCTGCTTTCAGGACACCTATGTGCCTAGGTCTCTTCTTACACCACTGGCTGTTCCTTCAGCCTTTTACTGATCTTTCTCATCTTTCCCTAAATGTGGGAAGGCCCCAGATCTAGCACTCCTCTTTCCCATCACTCTTACTCTTGTTTGGTGACTTCAGCTAGCCCTATGGCTTTAAACACCTCCCAAACTTCTATCTCTCATTCTACTCTCCCCTGGATCCAATGGGTATAATGAAGTTGGCACATTCCAGGAAGAACTCTTAATGGTCCCTACCCCTTCTCCTATGCTCCTCACCATTTTGGTGAATTGCAATACTCTCAACCCAGTTGCTTGGGCTAAAACTTAGGCATTTTCCTTTCCTCACATTCTGTAATATCCTACCTTGAGTCCATGAGCAAGTTGTATGTGGTTCTATCTTCAGATTAAATTCTGAACCCCATCACTTCTCAGTACTTCCACCATGGCCACCCTCATCTCTGCCCACATTATTGCACACCTTTTAATGGGTCTCCTTGCCTCCGTTACTGCCCTACTACAGGTGATTCTGCACAGAGCCACCACAGTGACCTTTTAAACATTCAAATCAGATAATGCCTCCTCTGCTCAGTGACTCTCCAATGACTTCCTGTTAAACTGACTAAAGCCAAAGTTGTTACTACTACAGCCTACCAGGTTCTTTACCCTCTGGCTCTTTTACCTGTGATTATGCTCTTCATCATTATGTTTCTCTAGCCTCGCTGGTTTTCTTGTAGAGGTCTTCTCTCTAGGCATGCCAAGTTAATTTCTGCCTCAAGGTTTTTGAATTAACTATGTCTTCTGCCTGGAATATTCTTCATCTAAATACCTGTTGTGGCTTAGACTTTAAAAAAAAAAAAAAAAAAAGACCCACAAAAGCCTCATGTGTTGGAGGGTGATTGGACAAAGGCAGCTGTATACTCACCAGTAGATAAATCCACTGTGGAGTTTAGTAGCTAAATGTGCTCTCAGGAGGTGGAGCCTGGTTGGAGGTGGGTCCATGGGGGCATGACCTGGAAACGGTGTGTTTCACTTTCCAGTTCTGCTCTCTCTATTTGCCTCCTGGCTGCCATAGGAGAGCAGTAGTCTTTTGGTCTGGACCTTTTCACCAGGCATTTCTGCCTGGGGACCTCCTGTCCACAGACTAAAACTGCGCTAAAATAAACGGTCCCTCCTTAAGTTGTGGATGTCAGGGATTGTGTCTCAGCAACTAGAAAGTGATTAAGACAGAAACTGGTACAAGAAAAGTGGGGTCATGGCTGTGACTATACCTGACACACTTTGGTTCATGGGAAGAGTTTGAAAAGGTTTGGGGATGCTGGCTAAAGAAGCTGTAAGCTGAGGTTGACAAGCAATACTGGTCAGAGCTCAGAATAGAATGCTCAACAAAATGCAGACAGTAAAAACCAGGCTTCACAGGTTTCAGTTGGAAAGTAGGACTCCACTGGCAGCTACACTAAAGATCTGTGTTATGCCTGGAAGATTTGTCTTCATTTTGCCCATGTCCTGAGGCTTTGTAAGAGACTGACATTAAGGACAATAGGCTAATTAATTTGGCAGAGGAAACATCAAAGCAACCCAACATTCAAGCTGTGTATGGGTATTGCTGGCTGCTTTCAGTTTCATTGGAACAGAGGCACCCACAAAGTTGGGGTCATGGAGAGCATGGATGCTCAAAATTTTAGCATTAAAAAAAGACAAGCAGTATATCAGGACAATAGGAAAGATGGTTTGAGAGCATCACAGAATGACCCCACCCTTCCCAGGCTCAAAGGTGTCAATCTGTTAAGTTCTCATTTGGTGAGAGCCCCTTGTCTCCACAACCCATCTAAAGAACTGGTTCCCAGGGATTTGTTTTATTGTGCTCAGCCATCCAGACACTCGAGGCCTTTACAGCTATGGCCCTAACGCATGGCCACTGCTCAAGCTGGTACCAAACCTTGGCACGATCTATGGTTTTCAAACATGCAAAATGTAAGAGTTACAGGGTCAGGGAGGCTTCCACCCAGGTTTTAGAAGACTCAGAAGGCCAAACAGTGTGCCTTTGAGAGGGTAGTATGTAAAACTGTAAGAGTGAAGCCAAAAGTACAGTGGAGACCCCAGAAAGCTGGAGATGCCAGGAACCTGGATCATCTCTAAGAAGAGTCATAGTGAGTACAGCCAGCTCAAGAGAAGACATGAGAGCTGCAACTAGCATTGCCTTAGGAATGCCCACGCCCTCAGAGTTCACATCTTACCACAACCTGCTCTGTGTGGTATATGTGGAACTATAAGATTCAATGTTTGCTCTGCTGGCTTTTGGTCTTAGTTTGGACCAATTTACTTCTATATCCCTATTTCTCTTTTTTATTACAGGAATGTTTACCCTATGCCACTGTATGTTGTAAGTATTTAACTTTTTGATTTTTACAGGAGCTCACAGCTAAGAGTTTGCTTGAGTCTCAGAGGAGACTTTGGACTTAAGAGTTTTCAGCACTGCTAAAGCTGTTAAAGACTCTGATGATTCTTAGAGATGAACTAAATGAATTTTTACAGAATAACCTCAACATAAGTCTTTTGGAGTCCAGGGACAGAATATCATGATTTAGATAAAAAAATGTCCCTCAAAAGCTTCACGTATTTGGAGGGTAACTGGATCATGGGGGTGCTACACTCATCAATGGATTGATCCATTGATGAGTTACGTAGCTAAATGTGCTATTAGGGAAGTGGGACCTGGTTGGAAGTAGGTTACTGAGGACATGACCTGGCAGGGTTTACTCCCTCCCTGACTCCTCCCTTCTCACTGTTTCCTGGCTGCCCTGGGATAAGCATCTGTCCTCTATCCTAGCCCTTTTCACTATGCATTTCTGCCTTGGAGTTCGCTGAAACCATCAGCTAAAATAAACCCATTCTCTTTTAAGTTGTGGATGTTGGGTAACTGTGTCTCAGCAAAAGGAAAGTGACTAAGACAACACCTGTCTAGCACATTCCTTCATTTCCCATCCAGGTCTCTGGTCAGTCACATCTTCAGAGAGGTCTTTACTGACTAAGCCATATAGAAAAAATACTTCTATATTTAATTTCCTTACTTTGCTATATTTTTCTTCATGATGTCTGATATTATGTCACATATTCATTTGCTTACTGTTTGTCTTTTCTACTAAATCAAAATTCCATGAGAGCAAGGACTTCATTAAGTTTGTTCACTATTGTATCTCCCACACCTAAAATACTGAGGTAGGTAATTAAATAGGGCAGGTATTAAAGCAAAAAATCTGTTGAATGAATGGGGACTTGGAGAGGGCTGGGATGGTAAATCACATGGAACAGAATGTGCAAGTACCTCAAGGTGTGATACTTAAGCAGGCGGGTATGGTTGGAGTGCAGAGTTAGTTCTGGGGTAGGGTGCAGAAAAGAAGTTTGGGGAATGAGAATGCCAGAGCCAGATCCTGAAAGGCTGAGTCTAGAATGAAGACTTGATGTTCCCTGTGGTGTTATTAAATACAGAAGTAATTTCTTGGAACAGGAAATATATGAAGGCTGTTCCAAGACAGTACACACAGTTAGAAAGAGCATTTTCTACTATTCTGAGTTCATCTGGGTCTTTGATTATAACTCCTGCCCCTTCCATGACATATAAGCTCTTTGAGAGTGCTGACTGCTTAGTGGTCACTACTATATCCCCAGCCGCAGGGCCAGGCTGGTACAAGGCAGTGCTCAGTGAAGTTTTTAATCAATCAGTGTTTTTGCTATTGGTCTTTCTGCTTTTCAACAAGACACCCATTTCTATTCTAATGATCAAAGGAAGGCAAGGGACTAGCATCTGGATCTTCTCCAGCTTTCTGTTAACGCGGCCCAGACATGTGTTAATTCAGAATAAGAGGAGACTTTAATAGTTTGGTAATTGTTAGTTTACATCTCACTTGAATGACTACAGTTAGCTCACAGGATACTAAAAAATCCAAAATCTAAAAGATTCTAGAAGGTTGGCTATGTGAATTAGTAAGGAATTTAAACCATTTCATAAAAGAATCCAACATATCCCAAAGCAAGGCTCTTTCATATTGATACTCACTTGTCACAAAGGTTTGTATCTGGTGACTGACTCAGTTTGTGTAGAATATCTACGATGCCCATGTCTCGTAATTTATCCTGACGTTCTTGTGAGCCTAAAAGATTAAAGCTCCCTGGTTACTGGGAACATGATGCAGATAGGTCCTCTCCTGGCCCTCCTTCCTATAATCCATCCTGAATTCCACTGCTAGACTCATTTATCATGGACTAGAGACTCAAAATCTTAGCCTAACATAAAGCCCTCTGTCACCGGGCCCCACCTTTGTCACTTCTTTCAGAACATACAGCCCTAGCCAGGTCAGACTTTTTCTTTTCTTTCTTTCTTTTTTTTTTTTTTCAGACTTTTTTCTTTTAAAGATGTCTTATTTCCCCCTCTCTTGCTGTCTTTCTTCCAAGCACTTTTTGCTGTGTCTTGGTCAGCACAAGTGGCAGTTCCAATTTCATACTGCTGTGCTCCCCAAGCAAGACCAACACCTTGAGACCCGGCTTTGTGTCTCTGGCACAGATTCTGCTTCGTATCTAGACCAGTGGGTTAAATCCAGTTTCACCTTCCACTTTGTTCTGGACACAAGCACCAAGTCATTCCCCTGGAGTCTTTCTTCCCCACTGAAGACCCTCAGTGATCATCCATGCACCACTCTCTCTAGACCGAGTGACCCAAAAATCTCTAGGGACAGAGTTCAGACTCCAAGGTGCTTTTAATGCCACTAGCCCACCAGAGATCCAGTATGGGCCTCTCCCTGCCTGACTGTAAACTGGAATCACTTGGAAATCACCTGTGCCTGGGCCTCTGTGAGAGAGTTTAACTCCACAGATGATTCTAGTGTTCAGCCCAAGTGGAGAACTTTTGATCATTACAGACTGGCTCCTTCACAAGGAAGACCACCTCTCACCCATCAATGCTCTTCTCCTTTATTCTCATTTGTGCAGTTCCCAAATGGGCCTTTTCTGCTCATCATGAAAGACCCACCCTCCCTCTCTCATCTTCACGCACCTGAGCATCCTCTGCAGCAGCTTTCTCAACGCAGAGACTGTCACCTACTTCTCACCCTCACTCCTGGGAATGTGGTACCATGCTGGCTCCAAAGTGGGGCCTCAGTCCAGGTGATTCGAGATAGTCACACTGATTCTCAAACCAGAGTGTGTCTACTGGGTGAAGGGCATGGCTAGTCCATGGATGGGACCCTGCCCAGGAACTCAGGCTTCGGGCCTTGCCTGTGTGAGACTGTCTCCCCATACTTTTCTTCAGAACAAATCTCTTACCTTCCTCTTCATTCCATATGAGATTTGATATACAAAACATAGCGGCAAGCTGCAGTTTGACATGTGAATGACCCTATCAATGCAGAAAAGGAATAAAAATCAAAATAGAGGTAATCTCATTTCAGACCTCCCCCCGCTGGAATGTATCATGGGTAATTATAGTCTTCAAGGATGAAGCAGAACCCACAAACTCATGTCTTGATGTTAACATTAATAAATGTGAAGGCTGGGTAAAAACGACAGGAACGAGCAGGGCGGCAGATCTGGCAGATTCAGGATGGCAAGCCTTGCCAAAAGACAGTCCCATGTCAATTAAAAAAACCTTTTCGTTAGCTGAACACAATGCCTTTAGTGCCACAGACGCAGTCTGCAATTTATGATTTAATCAATGCACATGGAAACAATGGCATGTAGCAATTCTATGCTCTTGACTTAGGCTATGCTTTCAGGTCACTGGTAGCCAAACTGGATGGACATCTGGTAACCTACTGATTATCTTACTTAATCTGATCCAGTAATTCCTTTGAGAAAGAAAGTGAAGATATGGTCAGGGAGTTCTACAACAACTCGTCTTTCATGCACAAACACTCTACAAATGGTTTACTCTCCTGACGTTACTTGCTGAAATTAAGAGTTACAGCTTCTGGGATAATACTTTATTTTTATAAGAGTATCCCCAGAACTAGACCAAATCTCTACCTGATTTATCCAGTGTTTCAAATGACTAAGCAAGCCCCTATTCTTCTAAAACATAGTTCTGGTTTATTTTTGTTATTGAAAGTATAATTATAAGTAGGGTCACTGATTCATATAAAGTACTTTCTCCTAAGTGAAAGAGGACCTGATAGTAAAACAATCCTTGCTGTCAATTAAAAAACACTTTCTAGTATATTTAAATAATTTATGAGAATCTGAAGTCATTAATACCAATTATATGACATGCTTAATAGTTTTGTTTTTGAGACAGGGTCTTACTCTGTAGTTCAGGCTGACCTCAAATTTGTGATCCTCCTGCCCCAGCTTCCTGAGTGCTGGGATTACAGGAATGTGCCACAATGTCCAATTTCAAATTTCTTTAAGGCTAAGACAGACTTATCTTCTAGTAACAGACTGTATATCTCTACCAAGAAGACACAAAGGAATGGCTGTGGCTCCCTCCATTAGAATTCTATAGTGAGTGATTCTTTTACCTGCGAACAGCTTGAAAGAGATGTCAAACTTGGGCTCTATTAAGACAAAACAGAATAAAACTTATCCCCTGCTCTCAGCCTCAGGTCATCAGTGAGTAAAGTGTATAAAAGGGAATACATGAGCTTGTTTACACTATAAGTAGTAGTTACTATATGTAAGTCCATTTATCATTCTTCAAAAAACTGGATGGTGGTGGGGATGGTGCAGAGATAATATCTGTTATCTAATTTAACATCTGTTCACTAATTTAGGTGGAGTGCACAGAGATAATTATCTGCTTGAAAGACACAATATTTAAACAGATTTAAAGAACAGAAAGTTGTCAGATACACTTGAGGGGTTCCAAAAACATGGCAAAGTTCTTGTACAGATCTGATGTAAAAAGGAACTATATGTTCAGAGAAGGTGGTATGACCAAATTGTGGGTTCCCTGTAGGACAGAGTAGGGACTGGATTTCATTCTGGGTTCAAAGGAAGCCCCTAAAGAATTTATACAGTGGAGGTATAGGATTTGATTTATAGTTTCAGAAGATCACTTTGGCTGAAGGGACTGTATAGCAGTGAAGAAGCGTTACTGCACAGTCGGTGAGGCAGAAGACACTATGGCTTGGACCAGGGAGGGAACAGTGGAGATGGAAAGAAGAGAACAGACTCAAGAGTAGTTTTGGGTGAAGGGCTCAAGGACTTGCTGATAAACTGATGAATGAGGAGAGAGAGGCAAAAAAAAATCAAAGAGAGACTCAGTCAAGTTTTAGCAGTGCGGTGGATGGAACTATAATGAACAGGAAAGACCAGAAAGCAAGATGTTCACTGGGGATTATTTAAGGGTTCATTTTAAAACATCAACCTCAAGAGCTATTAGCTGCATGAAGATGCTGAAAAGGCAGGAGGGTATCTGGGTCTCTCTAAAGAAAGATACAGGCTGGGGGCAAACATCTGGAAATTATCAAGGTAGATATAAAAGTACAAACCATGGAGTGGATAAGAGTCTCCAAAGGAAGTGGTTCCCAACTCTACCTAAGAACACCAAAATATTCCAGAACCCTTTTAAAAGGGAATTAAAAAAAATCCTGATGGCCAGGATACAAACCAGACCGATTATATTAGTGTCTTGGGAGGGAGACGACAAGGCTATAGTTTTTGAAAGTTCTCTAACAGGCTCTACTGTGACAGCAAAGTTGTGAAGCAGGATCTCAGGACATGTATGAAATAACAGGTAAGTAAGGAGGTATGATGCCCATGCAAGCCAAGAGAAAAGAATGTTCCAAGGAAGAAACAGTCAACTATATTGAAGTCAGCTTTGAGCGGGATAACATGAGGAGACAGTGTACCCTTTGGACTGGGCATCATGGACGTCACTGGTGACCCCAACTAGAGCAGCTTCAATGGAGGGATGGCGATGAAGGCTAGACGAAGTAGGTTAAAGGGTGATCTTCAAAGTAAGAAGGAGATAGCACATTCAAAAGATGGTTTTAAGAAACCTGACCTTGAACACGAGCAGAGAAATAGGTGTACCTCAATGAGAAGGGGAGTGTACCTCTCATTAAGGTGTACCTTAATGAGAACTTTTGTGTTTTGTTTGCGGTGGAACTGGAGGATCAAACCTAGGGTCTCTTGTATGTTAGGCAACTGCTATACTACTTGTAGGGAGACTTTTAAAAGATAAAATACTGTGTGGATCTGGAATTGGAAAGACAGGGAATTCCTGGTTGAAGCACTACCTTTTCAATGAACAAATATTTATTGGGCATATACTACAGGTAATGCACTATACAAGGTACTGGATAAAAAAATGCACAAGCCTGCACAACCCTTGCTTTCATAGAGTTTACACTTGGGAGAGAAACTTTGTAGACTTATAAAGATATGTCACTATAATTGAGCTAAGTGCTCTGAAAGAAGGAAACAATCTATATAGTAATAAAAAATAACCTAAACAGGTAAGAGTCCAGAGAGAAAGCATCAGTTCAGCTGAGATCTGAAGGGTGAAAAGGTGTGGTGGATTGACAACTGGTGGTCAACTTGTAACACCCAGCTGAACTGAACCAGCATGGTGCCGGGTGTCGGAAGCCCCCATCTAAAGGTTGTTGCCAGCAGCATAAGAGGCAGAACCGGAAAGGAAAAACTGGAGAGGCTGTTGGGAGTTGTTAGAAGCTGTTAGGGAGCTGCTGGTTCCCTTGGGCTATTCTGCTGGAGGACCTTGCCACGCTGGCTTTCCTGATGAACTTGGCTGTTCTCATGGGAGGAAGAGCTCATTGTCACTGAGAACGGCCACAGTTCACTTTGGCGGAGCTCTGGTCCTCATGTTGAGCATCGCTTCCTGGCTCCAGAGGGGAAGATGGTGCACTGCTCAGTCTCCTGGAGAAGCTTGTTGCGTTGGTGTTCTTGATGGTAACTCAGAACCTCACTGTTGCTGAGGATGGCTGTGGTACTTTTTGGGGGAGCTGTTTCTTACTTTGAGCGTCGCTTCCTGGCTCCGGTTCAGATCCCTCAGCCTGCTAGCACAGACCCTTCATCCCACTGGCACAGACTTTTTAGCTTCCACCACCGACCTTTGGGTCTTCCCAGCGCAGATCCGTAAAACAGGCCTGCATGAGACATCGTCATGGGCGCTGTCTTCAGCTGGACTCATGCAGGATTATCATGGGATTCAGGCCCTCAGCTGGATTCTTTGGTCTTTAGTGTGTGGACAGATTTCCTGTACTCTTTTTTGTTTATGATTCTTTGGGTGACTATTATAAATGATCTTACAAAATATGTGTTCTGTATTGTATTGTTCTCCTTGCAAAACCCAAAACTGCAACAAAATGAGAGGGGAAAGAAGTGTTCCAGCCACAGGTGCTGGCATGCATGAAGGTCCTGTGGCAAGGGACACAGTCTCACTGAAGAAATGAAAGAGGCTAGTGTAGTGAACAAAAAGGGAGGAACAAGATGAGGTCGGGATGCAGATGGCTTATGTTATATGGTATTTGACAGACATCATAAGGACATGGGAAGGGATCTGATTCAAGACAGCGAGCCACTAAAGGATGTCAGCTTTTATTCTTTTAAAAGAAAAAGCTGAGGCCATCACTAAAGTGAAAAGGGAGTGAAGAGGTCAAGTTTAAAGAACGAAGACAGGATAAGAACCTATCTTTGTGAAGAGTGAGGGCTGCACTCACTAGAGAATCACTGAGGGATCATGCAGGGCTGAGTGCCCATCTGGGTTTTGTAAAGTGAACCACTCAGCTTGCTCTGTGCCTTCCTCCATGACTGCAGATTTTGAGGGGCAGGCAGAGAAGGCAGGTTAGTGGTGGAAGGGAGGAGGAAGGGTCACTTCCTGATTAGAATTCTGCTCAGAGATTATGACAACATAAAAAGAGGAGTGTCTCATACCCAGATTTTGGCAATGAGCAGTTTTTCACAAAGGCATGAGGCGCAGAATGGCCACAGCAGTACCTGACAGGTTGAGTTTGGAAGCAAACAGGTCAAGGAGCTAAGGTGCCTGAGTAAGAGGGAGGCAATCAGCAGAAGAGCAGGGTAGGGAGTGGGGTGGTAGGTGGAAATGTTACCAATGGCTGAAGCTTCATGTATTTTTTTTTCCCAGTTTCTTCAGGATGGAAAAGAGTTCCTTAAATTTACTATGGAGTAGTTTATTCTTTTCAAAGTTTCTGCTCAATCTGTTTTAAGACAACAGTGCTGCAGTCCCTGTCTTCTAATGCAGCGAAAAGGACAGAGGCTTACCATATAATATTTGATTTTCTGCAGGATGTCATCATTGGTCATAATAAGCTCTTTTGCTGTTGTTCCATCAGCTATGTTGGCTAGGATACACAGAGTCTGGAAAAGAATGAAGAGCCAGCAATCAAGGAAGCTCTGCGATCCCCAGAGCCTGGGCAACTTCTCACTGCAAGGTGCACGGGTTCTCACAGGTTCCACTACTGATGGCCTGGTTCTCATCTCTCGACACGGCCAACTGTAACCACACCCAATCAAAGTCTACCTTAGACAAAAGAGAACCGAACCACTCCCAGGTTCTTGCTGAGCATTAATCCACAGCCAGGTAAAGCAGTGGTATTGCATAGGTCTTACTAGCCCAGAGATCAAAAAGAAAATATAATTTTACTGTTTTGTTTTTCTTGAAAACTTCATTTCTAAAGGAAGCTCTTATGAGTAACCCATGGACTTCTTCAAAGATGTAGTGTCTTTCACAGAAATTTCATAGGTACTATAACTCCTTTCACTTCCCTAGGCCTCTGCTGCTGTTGTTCCCAAGCTCGTAACTTTGGGTGAAGGCCTATCCTGTCTACCCGTTACTGGCCATGTACAATTAGGACTGCTTGACTTTCTGGAACCCTCTTAGAGGAACAGAAAAGGACACAAAATGCATGCGAAAGCTTAGTTCAGGCTGGCCTGATATGGAGACTAGAGGGAGCCTGTGCCGGCTGGCAGGACGGTGTATGTTGAGAATAATTACTACAGTGGGGGTGGGGGTTTCTTCTCAGAGGTAGAGACTGTTCTTGTCAGCTGCTTCATTTTCACAACTAGACAAGAGGTGGCAAGGATGAAGGTAAAAGTGAAAAGACTGGTAGGGTAATGCCGGGTTTAGCAATGCTAGATCATGCCAATACCAGAGTTAGCAATTCAACAAAAGCTTTTTGTCTGTCATGGGCCTGCCCACTGCTGGGCATCAGGGCGAGCAAGGAGGACACATTCCCTGGCTCTGAAGCCATTACATAGGCAATTACATTTCACTGTGGTGTGACTAAAGTAAAAACAGAGAACCAAGAAAGCATGAAGTAAAAAAGCCCTTGCTGGTTATTCCAAGGCTCAGAGTAGGCTTCTTGAGGAAGTGACCTAGAGTCCCGAGGCAGTTAGCAAACACTCAATGATAAGAGAGGTGGTGATAAGGTAGAGACTTAAATATTTCTCCAACTATTTTTTTAAAAAGTAGGGTCTTGCTATGTTGCCCAGGCTGGCCTTGAACTGGCAATTCTCCTGGCTCAGCCTCCTGAGTAGCTGGGATTAGGTGTAAACCACTGTGTCTGGATTAATTTTCTCTGACTTTAATCCTTTTTTATGTAAGACTTCAGCTAACTGAACTAACTGATGAAAGTGTTTCTTACTAGGCCCAAATCCTCAAATACCCTAGAAGGTATATGGTTTCATTTCTCCAAGATTAACATACTTAAAAGTGAGTTCTTTTTTTGTACTATTTTCTTTTTAAAAAAAAAGTGAATTCAGCAAGATAGCTCGATACAAAATCAATATTCAAAAATGATCTGTATGCTAGGAAGGGGAACATTAAGCTGAAAATAAAAATTGTCAAAACACTGTTTAGAACAGCATCAAACATATGGCATACATTGGTAAATCTGGACAAAAGAAATGCAAGATCTATATACCAAATCCTACAAAACAATGCTACATGGAATTAAAGACGACCTAGATACCCAGGAAGATATAGAGTATTCATAGATTGGGAGATTCAATATTGTTAAGATACCACTTCTTCCAAATTGATACAATTTCCAAAAAAGGTTATGAAAAAAAATCAAACAAAATTTCTTAACATAATAAGAGAATAACAATAGATACACTGTGTATCACTATCTTTAAAGAAGTTACTCAGCATGTAAGACATAAACCAAAAGGAATCTTACAAAAAAAGAGATAACACAAATCTTTCTTTCCAATGATCTAAGATAAACTAGTAATATAAATGAAACAAATTAGTATATTAATATATTTTTGAAAAAATGAAATATGCAATTTGAGGAAGTATTTGAACTTTTTCCTATTGCCTATTTATCTCTCTTCTATTTTGCTCTCTCTCTTTTTTTTATATTTAGACAGGGTCTGACTATGTAGTCCAGGCCGGCCTTGAACTCACCATGTAGCCCAGGCTGGCCTTGAACTTGTGCTGATCCTCCTGCCTCAGCCTCTGAGTGCTGGGATTACAGGCAGGTACCATCATGTGCAGCCTGCTCTTTATTTCATATTTATATATATTTTGTGTTTCTCATATATGAGAAACCATGTGATATTTGAACTTGTGTGTGAGCTTATTTCATTTACATTATGTTCTCAGGGCTGGGGATTTAGCTCAGCAGCAAAAGCACCTGCCTGGCAAGCGCAAGTTCGTGAGTTCGGTTCCCGGTACCGGAGAAAAACCAAAAAAACAAAAAACCAAAAAAACAATACATTATGTTCTCAATAGATCCCCAAGTTGATCTATTTGATGCTATCTCAATCAAAATAAAATCCCAGCTGGCTTTTTGGGGAGAAATTTGACAGAAAGAGATTATCAAATAAAATTATTAAATAAAAATTCACTTATTTGGTGTAACATCTATTTTATAAATGTACAGAATCTTACAACACCCAGAATCAGCATTCAGAGCAGTTCTACCGCATCCTCCCTCCCCAGTTTTCCTGTGCTATCCCACTGTAGTCCAAATCCTTACCCCTTCTTTCATCCTTCAGTACCTGTGATTTGTTCTCTGTTTCTATGATTCTCTCTTTTATGGACCGTCATATAAATGGAACTGTGCAGCACGCTGCCTTTTGAATCTGGCTTCTTTCACGCAGTATAATTCATTAAAGAGTCATCTGCGTAGTTGAATCTATTAACAGTTTGTCCCTTTTTATTACTGACTGGTATTCCATAGTATATTCATTCATTTGGTATGTTTCTAGTTTTCATTCTAAAAGATGCATAGTGATATTTTGTTGTTAGTTCAAAGTTTTTGCTTTTTTTTTATTTGATTGTTTTCTTCTTGTTTTGAGAGTTCTTTATATATTCAAGACACAGGTCACAGTGCCCACTATGTCCACAAGATGTATGACACATAAATATTTCCTTCAAGTGGATGACTTGTTCATTTACATTCCATACAGTATAGGTTTTATATTTTAATAAAGACCAATTTACCTCTTCTGGGTAAATTTACCTCTTTACTGTCATATCTAAGAACTCTTTGTCTAATCTCAAAGATTTTCTCCTGTATGTTTTCTCAAAGGATCTGTAAGTTTACCTTTCATGTTAGGTCTATTAGTAAATTTTTTCCTAAGGTGTAAGTTATGAGTTCAAGTTATTTGCTTTTTGGCAGTTAATCTAGCACCATTTGTTGACCACTGTTTCTCCACTCATTGTCCTTGCACCTTTGCCAGTAATCACCTGGCAGTACACGTGTGGGTCAATTTCTGGACTCTCCAATCCATTCTGTTGATCTACATGTGCTTTTGCTAACAGCCTACTATCTTTTTTTGTCTTTTTGAGACAGGGTCTCCTATGCAGTTCAGGCTGGCCTTGAGCTCACTTTGTAGCCCAGGCTGGTCTTGAACTTGCAATGGTTCTCCTACCTCAGCCTCCCAAGTGCTGGGATTATAGGAATGTGCCACCATGCCTGGCTCAGCCTACTATCTTATCATATTTTACAATAAGTCTTAAATCAAGTATTTTAAATACTCCAACTTTTTTACATACTTCCTTCTGGAGCATCTCCAAAATCTGTATCAAGTAGTATTATGTATGTTTTGTAAAAATACACTATTATGCTGGGGATATAGCTCAGTGGCATAAGCACCTGCCTGGCAAGTGCAAGGTCCTGGGTTTGATTCCTGGTACCAAAAAAAATAACCCACACTATTAGTACTGGTCTTTTCTTTTGCCCTCATCTAAATTTTTCCTGGCCTTTCTACCTTGCTTTACTTCCAAGATAGCAGAATTCTATCCAGGTGAGCAGTCTTAGACACAATTCATTCTGATGCTCTCCAGTGGAACAATTCTTTTGAGCAATGTATGTGTGTATGTGTTCTTGAGTGTAAGAATCTCATTTCATCTCATTTCAGTGATGCTTAAGAAATTACACTTTTTCTGTGTTCAATTTTTGTTCATCATAACACACTTATTTTTCAATAGAAATCATCAAAAGTACCTCTTAAAACCATTTGGTCAAGTCCACCACCTTTTCTACTCATAAATTCAAAACAGCCTCTCAAGTTCTACCAGTCTTACTTCCCAGGCTGCCCTTCAGAAGCCTGCTAAACTCTCTAACTCAGGAACAAAGGACAAAAGGCATGGATCCTGGAATTAAGACTCTTTGGCCCCAACTTAATAAGCTTGGGCAAGTTTCACAGAGGTACATACATATGCACAGCTCAACGAATTTTGAAAATAAACATACTCATGTAGATGATAACTATGTTAGGAAATTGAAGATACCAGTAATTCAGATTCTGGGTTAAAATCTTAACCTTGAAGGTGACTTTTAAGGGAGAGGAGATATAAATATACATATAGATATAGATATAGATATACAGATATAGCTATCTTTAAAGTTCCCATAGTAAATCCCAGAAAATACAGAAAAGTGACTCCTAACTGGTCTGCTAATAAATGTAGTTTCTGTACTTTCATGCCAATTATAAGCTCACCCTTCTAAAATTCGACAGAAAGCCGCATTTGGGATAGCAACTAAGAAAAGAAGATGCCTAAAGGTAAAGAAACTAAATCTGACTCCAGGATGAGCGATAATCTTACCAGGAAGCTGCAAGAGTGTAAGTCTGGAGAAGAGTAGAAGCAGTGAGGCTGGAATAAAGGATCAAGCCTATGATGATTAAAGGAGTCTGTTCCTGTAGAGACAGGGATGGGGTATCCAGTGTGTAATACAAAGGGCGAAACTATATGTCCTTCCTCTATCCCAAGGAAAAGAATTACTGGAAAGAGTTCAAGGAATGCAGGAGGATCTTTCTTCTTGTTTCTAGAGCATGTTCCATCTCAGCTCTGTCTTCTGCAGATTTGAGTATTTCAGAAGACTCCTGAGATCTACCTTTGTATTCACATTCAGAACACACTCTCTTTTTTAAAAAAGGAACACATACCTGCTCTTTAACCTCAATGTTATGCTCTCCTTCCAGAATAAGGGTGACAGCCTGCATAATTTGCTTTCCATGTGTACTCATTATTTTATCTATATGCTGGAAAACAAGGGGAAATCCACAATTATTTTCTGAGAAAACATCACAGAAAGAATGCTTCTAAAAGTTAAATAATATGATATACAACTGCAATGCACCATAGCAAGCAGAACTAGATGTCAAAGAACAGTGTTTATTGTATTTTAAAGCTGCATTTTTGCCTTCAAATGTACATATTTTTAATGACCACGAAGAAAGCATAGAGTTGGTCTAGCAGAATACAGGACTAAAACTATTGAGGATCTTAAACCTATAGATATTTTAGAAAAAGGGAGCACAAAAAAATGGGTATGGGGGGAAAAAACCCTACAGACTTAGAAAATATGGTGCAGGTTTACTAATAGTACTTTGAGTCATAAATACGTAAAGACGACTCCCAAGGCAAGTAAGACACAGAAAAGGAAGCCAGCCATGTTTCTTCCTCTCTCTGAAGGCCACTGAGAGAGAGAACACTGACAGCAACTGCACCAGCAAGGCTCAGGCTCTCCTACTGCGACACGTACTAACAGCCTGGCCCAGTGACATCCTCAGCGTTCAGGTCTATAAATGTGGGTCGGGGAGAGGTCGTTTCTATGGAACGACACTGAGAGTACTTCTCTAAAGGGAAATAAGCAGAGGCCTCGGAGATGATTTAGGCAGAGAAAATCCATCCTGGTCAGAAAACCAGGTAAGAATAAAGTAACAAAGGCAGCACATACCTAGCACCAGTGGAGGAAAGGGAGGCAGGACAGGCAGAGCAAGGGTAGTGGCAGTGGTGTTTGTAGGGAAGCAGTTCCTGACATGCCTATGAAGTGACAAGTCTAGACATCAACTTCTTGCTTCTTTGGGAAGAAACAGCATTTGAACCATACTCATAAACACACATTGATAGGAGCAGAGAGAGACAGCAACGTTGGGGAACTCCTATGCAGAGTTAGCTAATTTGGAAGCCTGGGTGATTTACTTACAGGCCGAGTAGAGAGGAGATTTCTAAGAAGTCCCAATGTCTTCATCAGCACATTCAAATCTGAATCTGATAATAACCGGAATAGCTGTTCAGTACTCAAGCTTCGTAAAATATCTGCTTTTATTTTTTGTTCAGCCTGAAATGCCATATTCTGAAAGGATTAAAGAAGTTGCAAGAATCATGTCTACATTATTTTATCAAATTATATTTTAATAGTAACTGAAAAATTTCAAAGTATATAAAGTATGTAGAAAATCCTTAACTATGAGTCGTAATTTTCTGACTCCTGCTCATCACCTATATTTCTGTGAGTCAAGAACAAGATGACTGACACTCCTAAGTATACTTCTGTATGAGAAAGACGATTGCTTTTTATCATGGGTATTTGAAAGTCTTACTATTTCTTCAATAAATATAAATTTCTTTTTTCTTATTAGTGCTGAAAACAGGGAGTGCTGAGTTACATACCCAGGTTGTTTTATCTCTTTATTTTAAGACAGGATCTCTCTATGTTACCCAAGCTGGCCTTCAACTTGCAATCTTCTTGCCTCAACTTTCAGGTTGGATTTATGGATGTGTGCAATCACATCTAGCCTTTTATTACTACATTTACGGTTATCAAGTTGCCTTCTGTGCATCTTACTAACATGATTTTTAATGATTATAATGTGTTATGCATTTTGAGAATGATCTCAAAGTACTCACTTATTATGGATGAAGTAAGTTGTGCTTTGTTAACTCTATGATATGAGAGTACCCATTGTGTTCACAATACTAAGCTAGGTGAGGGGACGGCTGGGCTGTCCCACACAGGCAATGCTTTCGAGGCAGGAGGTATATCCTGGCCACCAGCAAGCCAACATGGCCAGCAGCTACTTTTTTTTTCTCACATTCACATTATGTATTAGCCCTCCTTAACACCAAGCTAAAACAACACAGCTGAAGGGGAGAAAAGCAAATTCCACATAACAACTAATAAATCAAGTTTGACATAAAAATCACCCGTAAAATGGAGACTTCATGTTGTTACTGCTCTCCAGGAACTTATTTTAGTTAAGAAACTAAGACAAATGAGAGATCAAGTTATCAGTGAAGCAAGCCAGCATTGCAGAGAAAAGAATACTCCCCAGACATCAAGACAGCCAGGCCAAAAGTGATTACAAGGCTTTAAACTCTATGAACAGAGCACATGGGTGCTAGTAATACGGAGACTGATGTGAATAAGATAGTTTGTTTTGATTTGAAGAATAGGATGATTAAGTTTAATTTCCACCATTAAAGCTGTGTGTGTTAGGGAGCTCTCATAAGAAGTCTCATGGGCTGTATAAATGACAGATCTGAGGAATAAATAAGTTATATCTGGATGTGCAGATTTCAAAGTAACCTCTTCTATTACGAGGAATTCCTGACACTGAAGTGTGAACAGAAGTGGACACTAGGAATTGAAACTTAGGGGGAATATCTCCTAAAAAGGAGATTTAGAAGGATGCTAGGTAGAAAGTGAGTTAAACAAACAAACAAACCTAAGTCTCAGAAAAAAATTTCAAGAAGAAAAGAGCTAAAAGCTGCACAAAGTTAAGGAGAAAAAGAATCCTAGAACTACTGGATGTGGTGCTTATTTCTATTCCAAAGTTTATGTCCAAAACAGAACAGATACAGCATGAGATAGGGAGCTTCCTTCACTTACGGGCTGTGGGTCCCTCAGCCTCACAAATCACTTCCCCCACAGTCGTTTCCCATTCATAAGGTGGATACATCCCACTACGGCTTGAAATAAGAACTAGAGATAAAAAGTATAACAGACCTAGCTTAGTGCCTGGCACTTTTACACTGGCACACTGAAACTGTAACTGCTATAATTATGTTTCTAAATTATGCATATAAATTATATATACATATAATTATGTATATTAAAAAATCCATGGAGGAGTACTCTTTTTATAATTTTAATATCATTTACTTCAATAGTCTTAAAGTTCTCTGATCTCATAAATTTAGTCTATTATTATAAATTATTTATTAGACTTAATCAAGCATTTCTTTACCCTGCTAAGTTATTTAATCAATCTGTAAAAAAGTATATAAAGCAATACATATGTTAATTGGCTCAATTCAGGTATTCTGTGTATACATTTTAAAACATGTTGTACACTATAAACATAAAATTTTTACTTATCAATTAAAAAATAATTGTTTTGTGCCTTAGTTCACTATCTGTAAAGTATGGTAAGAATGCTCCTTAGTTTATTTCAAAAAGTTGTTCACAGTGCTTTGTAAAATAGGCAGCTCTTTATAAATACAGTATGTCTGTGATAAGAAAAATTTGTTTCCCGAAAATCAGCAAAGTAAAATTTCAACACCTGTTCACTTTAAATAACAATAATAAGAAGAAGAGGAGGAGGAGGAGAAGAAGGAGATGGAGGAGGAAGAGGGGGAGGAGGAGGGAGAAGAGGAGGGAGAGGAGGAAGAGAAGAGAACTGAGGCATAGAGCCTTTTGCTCACAGCACAACTTGCTTACAGATAAATCTGAAAGTGGAATACTAAGTCTTCCAAGCCGTCAATCATTAGAAAACTGGGCCTTAATAGCCAAGTTTTTAAATGAGAAAATTCCAAGTAATACAGTCTTTAGTTCTATCTGTGACAATACCTCTATTCTTGCAAATTATGACATAAAAAAAGGGTAAAACATACCATTAAAGCCCATATTCCATTCACTCTTAAGGCAGGATTTTCACTTTGGGTTAATCCACAAAGTAGCTCTACAGCTCCTGATTCTAAAATTGGCTGTGGAAAAGGAAAAGAAAATTTTTAAAAATCAGATTTGCAAACTGTGTATATGCCCCAGCACTCACTCTGCCTATTTTTTTCTTCTTTACTTTTACCCAATTGCAAGCAACTTTCATAAAGCAAGAGTAATACAGCCATTAAAGTCACTTTGAGTAGGACAAGAACAATCTCTCTCTCTCAACAACAAAACTCAAAAAGCTCTTTTCCTTGTCCTTGTCGTTCTGAAAGAGTCTGCAACACCCTAGTTACATGCCCATTTCACCCATGTTCTGATGAGCTAGGTTCCCACTCTCATTTTCACTGTCCTGAGACTGTGACTCCTTGCTTTATTTATGCACATGTCTTGTATGTTGCTTACAGGATGTAATGAGGAACCAACATGAATAGTTTAGTAGAGAAATGTAATATACTTAGATAAATAAATCACTCTCCTCCTAAATTGTCAATTTTATTCCAGATCTGCTGCAGAATTCACCTCTGAGGAATACTTTCAGGACTATGACCTATCCGCTACATAAGCAAAAGAGACTGACACTTTTGTGGTCATGCCACACGTTACACCTAAAACAGCATGCGCTACCTTGACCAGCTATTATGATACTTAGGATCCTATGAGAGTGGGTTTCTTATAATTCTAGGAAAGTCTAACCTTAGAAGATTAAGATTTTCTATCATCAATGAATGTTCAAAGGCCATCTGTCAAGTGAATTTTAAAAACACTTTAAGAAACACAGGTCTATATAATGAGGAAAAGGGCAGCGCCTCTCAATGTGACACTTCTGAAGGAGGTAACATATTCCCTTACTTGCACATATTGTGATATTTTTAATATTTTGTTTAATGGGTAATCATTGGTTTCACTCTACACACCGATATCCACATCATTTATTTTATCCCACCATTTAAAAATATAGTGCATACATCATGCCTTTTACCTTAATACTTCAATGTGTATTTCTTTTTTTTTAATGTATTTCTTAACAAGGATGTTCTCTTAATCACATTTTAACTATCAACTTCAGAAAAGATTATATTAAAGTCAAACAATAGCTTTATCAATCTATTGTCCCTATTTCAAATCTGTCAATTGGTCCAAATGCTCTTACAGCATTTTCCTTCCTTCCAGATCAGAATTTGGGTTTACTTTTATTTTTCTGTATGTGTGATACTAGGCAAGTTCTCTGCCACTAAGCTATGTCCTTCTCCCTTCCTACCTTACCACCTTTTGAGACAGGGTTTTACTAAGTTGCTCAGGCTGGCTTGAACTTGCTATCCTCCTGCCTCAGCCTCCAGAGTAGCTGAGATTATCCACCACTGTGCCTTGGATTGGTTTACTTATTTATTTTCACTGGTACTAGGAATCGAACTTGGGACCTCGTGCTTGCCAGGAAGGCACAATTCCACTGAGCTATATTTCCCGGCCTGGATTGGTTTATTTTTAATATTAAGAAATCAATCATTTTAATGATCCTTTGCCTGAACTCATCTACTTTATTTCACAACTAGACCTTAAATATGCTGAAGGCACATCTTGGCAATCTAAGAAGTGTTTCTAGATGATAAATGGTGCTGTACTGGCTATAACACATTCTGATCAGGTTGACTACCAGCCACAGGAGAACAGACTGGAAGATCTACCATATTATCTTGCCTTTCTCTTTCTGTAGAATAACTGCCAGTCTCTTCCCTTTTGTCCTAGGAATTTTCAGTAACTACCTTTGAACCACTGTGTTACCAACACTGCCTTCCTGGTTTCAATCAAAGTCTGCAAGTGTCATGCAGAAAATAAATTCCACCAAAGGGAAGCTACTAAGTGCCCAATAACAAGTTCATAATTGGGCAGATCCAAGTCTCGACTATACCGCCTGCCCCAGGGACTGGATCGAGGACCTCATGTATGCTTATAAGTACATGCTCCCCTTGCCTGAACCAGAGATATCATAATATAATAAAACTAACTTTATAAGGTTTTCTTCTTCTTTTATTAATTTAGTTTTCTCTATTAAAAAAATGCAAGGTCAAATAATTTACAAAATGCAGAAAAGACACTAAATCCCAGCATTCGATCGTTCCTCCAACAACAACATTAAAAGATTATTTTCTGATGCCACCAGTTATCTCCTTGAAATGACTCCTAACCCTCATTTATAAAATTAAATCTTATTATTTAGTGAATATATTGTAGTTTGAAAATAGTCTATTATGTAATTTTTTCTTGTATTTATAATTTCAAGTAGTTTAGATTGACTATAAGCTCTTATTTATTTATGCATGCCCCAGTATGGGAGACTGAACCCTGGGCCTTCACACTGAACTGTATTTCCAGCCCTGTTTTTATTTTGAGACAGGGTCTTGCTAAGTTGCCTAGGTTGGGATCCAATCTGTGACCATCCTGAATGCTAGGATTATAGGTATACACCACCATGCTCAGCTTGCTCACTCACTCACTCACTCATTCATTCATTTACTCATTTTTGAGACAGGGTCACTCTATGTTGCCCAGGCTGGGTCAAACTCTTAGGCTCAGGTGATCTTCCTGTTCAGCACCTGGAGTTGCTGGGACTACAGGCCTGTGTCACAATGATATGCTTTATAGTATCTTTTAAATAAGCTGAATATGCTAGGTCAAAAAAAAAGAATGGGAAACAACCATATTTAAAAATGAATTATTTGCCCTTCCACCTAAATCAAACAATTCAGAAGTAGTTTTTAAACCCAATTCAGATTTCAATGTTAACTGCTGTAAAAGGTTCTCTAACTAAGCTCTAACTAAGCTGGGCAACACCAAAATTCAGTACTAACCTCTTTGCTTGGAGAAAATTCAAGAAGCAGATTACATAACATGGATGATGCTACTACTAGGATTTCATCTGGTGCATTCTGTAAAACCTATGGAATAAAAAAAAAGGGATACCATTAAGGTTTAGAATCATGGAAGTAAGATAGATCATTGAAGGCTAAATAAAAACAAAAACAAGGAGAGCTGGACAACTCCGCAAGACCTGTCTCAAAATAAAAACTGAAAACACCCTGGGGATATCGTCTAGAAGCAGAGCAAGTGCAAGGCCTGGGTTCACCCAATACCACACAGACATACATCTTTCAACTTGATTTCTCATACTGGAGAGGTATAACATGTAAGATATAACAAGGGTGATATATAACATCAATCAAACAAAATTTCATCAAAATAGGAACAAAAAAAAACTCCCACAAGATTTTTAATTAAAATCAAATGGCTGCTCACTTGTGGTTTGCTAACCAATAGTTTAAAATGGAAAAACAAAAGAGAAAAACCAGCAGATACGTAAATAGCCTCTGAACTATGAGAAGCCTAAAAGAATCTAAAACAAATCATTGGTTTATTTCCAAACTTTTAGTATTATACTTTAAAACTGAGACAAAGTCATAGTTTGAAAGTGGTTATATGCATGTATACACAAGTACACAAAATTCTAGACTCTTCATTACATTTTTCCCTAGGAGAATTAGAAAACATGTTGCTCCAGTTCTCATTTGTATGATAGAGGGATTCTGAGCTGAGCAATCACAGAAAATGACTCCAGTTGCAAAGGGATTTATTTTAAGAAGAAGAGAGTCATTTTAAAAAATCTTGAACAGGTAATCGATAAATCAAGATCGAGCTGCTATGAAAAAGGTATAATCTGAGAACAAGACTGTAAGTTTGTGAGCAATACAAGAATGTATCACTTAACTGGAGGACCTTCAAAAATGCAGGAATGCCAAGCCTGGCTCCATTTTAGACAAAGCACTGTGGGTTTGAAATGGACTTCTGTGGGTGCGAGCTGGCACATTTCTTGAACAAATGCCTTTGAAGTGTGGAAAGGCATTGACAATGTTGTTGCAGAGAGAGTAGTGAATGAATAATCTTTCTGAGTCTGGAGACTCTAATGAGCTTCAGTACACAAAAGGCCAATAACAAGGAAGGAGGAATATCCAGAAGGGCTGCCACAAGTCCAACAGAGAGGAGTGCCGATGAACGGAAGTAGGTCAAATTCAATGTCACAGGCTACCTAAGTAAAAATCCTCCTGGTCCTTCTGCCTTCAAAGCCCACTTCACATTCTTCTTGCTTGAAATCTTTCTGCCACACTGATGTCCCTACTCTGACCTGAAGCTGTAAGGGAGGGTAAGAGCTCTGTAGTAAAAAAAAAAAATTGGTTCACTGTGCCTGGATACTTTGCTCAATACTTAATAAGCATTCAAAAACAAAACAAAAACCTAATTAAGCAGAAAATTCTGTTGACTAAATCCAAGGTATAGATGGTCAATAAAAAAAAAAAAAAAAAAAAAAAAAAAAAAAGACAAAGACTGAAGGCCAAGTCAACCTTGGTTCTGCAACATATGAGGAGATAACATCACTGGCAACCACCTGATGTATATGTTTAGTCCTCAACTCAGCTCCCTTTGCCCTTAACCCACGTTTTTCTTTTTTTGAGGTGGGAGGTCTCAACAGCAGACTTAATGTCAAAAAAGGTACGTTAAAAAATGTCTAAGGATTGCCAAAAGACTGAGAATGTGCTGTATTTGTAATTGGCTGATTCTTTTTCTTTTTACACCTAATAATTACAAAGATAACTCTGGATATCAGTGTAAAGAGTAATAGTGAACAGATAGATCATATGAATAACTTAAAGCTTTAGTTAATAAAGACAACCAGGGCTGTACTTTACCCTCACATGTGAGATGCTGACCTTGGAAATTCTGTAGATCTCTGTTCAGAGTATGAGATTCAAGCAGAAACACGTTCAAAATGCTCTATACAAAAAATCAGACATTCCTGGACTCGGGGAGTGCTGTTGGCTAGCTCAGCTCACAAAGACTCTGGAATGATGACCCTTTTCTTCTTACCTTCATTAAGGGTTTCCACACAGCATGATCCTGGAAACTGGTTCTTAGTTGCTGTACAGATCTGGACAAACTGTGCAAACATCTACAAAGAATAATCAAAATTAGTTTCCAAGAATTCCAAACTTATTTTTCAAACAAACTGTTTGGCTTTTCACTATTATTAATGTACACGCCAAGCATATCCACAGAGTAGAAAGTAAGTCAACTACATGATGATACCTCCTGGGTTTTGGAGGCTGGGTTCTCTGTGAGATGTTACACACTGTCTGAATTCACCTGAACATACTTTCCATTAACATTCATAGTCTGCACTTACTCAGTGAAGGACTGGAAAGGAAACAGGTTAAACACACAGCAAAGGATGTTTATTCAGACCATTTAAAGCTCATACCTGACGGCAGCTAACCGCACCTTGACACTAGACTCAGACAAGCCAGTCACAATTCGGTCCATCATATTTTCAGTCTCAATGATCTGGAGAAAAAGGTTAATGCTGCATAAATAACAACACAAAGGTGACAAACTTCAATGCTTGTAAATGTAAGTCTGTTAACGCCCATTAAAGGTTTAATATTGCAAAAAAAAAAGTTTAATATTGCTTGTGGCAAAAGTTTTCACCTCTGGGACAGTCATCTTGTGGTGAGGGCAGGCAGCTCACCAGAAAGGTTAGGGTAGCCCACTAAGGAAAGCCAGGCTGAATGACAGGTGGTATGGGTCAGGTTATGTTTATTTTTTTCAAGACACTTAGAATAGTAACTATATGGTATAAATATTACAGAGTTATTGTATAAACAATCTTAGGGTGAGAGGAAGGTGCAAATTCCTATTAGGCAGGTTCTTGCCAGAGTAAGATTCTAGAAAAATCAGTCCACACTTAGTCCTGATGAAATGAAATTTAGATTTCTGACAGAGCCATTCTATGGCTACTTTCCTACTAATGGGATTGAAATGAAGTTAAATTTTATAAAGGTAACCAACCATCTTTCAACACAGCGTCCTTCACTCGTACATGCTACAGGTAATCACATCTTTTTCAAACTTAAAAATAAGACAGCTTGCAGTTTTCCTTCATAAAGCGATATACAGATTCAAAATAAATTGGTGTGCAGAGGAAATTAAGTTTAATCTATAAAAGCCTATGGAAAAATGGCTCTCCTATTAAAGTACTAATGTAAGCACAAAAACATTAACAAAAACAATGAGTTTTTGTTGAGTTCTATGTGCCAGGCATTGTGCTAAGCATATTGCATTATCTGATTTAACTCTTACAGTCTTTTGCCAGTACTAATAAAATTATTCCCATTGACCTCTTAGGAAATTGAGCACTGTGGATAACACAGAACTTTAGTAGGACCACAGAGCTGACCCCAGGCATGTGACTCCAGAGTCTCTATGCTTAGGCACACTTATAATACTGACTTGGTCAGAGAAGTAGCCCTATATTTTTCAGGTGTTCCCAAAAGGGCAACCTATTAAAGGGACCCATTACATTCTGCTGGGAGAATTCCTAGACTACAGGATCTTAACCCTGACCACACTGAACAATCCCCTACGGAGCTTTAAAAGTTATTTTGCCTACCACACTAATTAAATTGTCCAGGCACTTGTCACTTGTATTTTTAAAAAATCTCAGAGAGTCCAGTGTGTAGCCAAGGTTGAAGATCACTGACCTAGAGTAAAATGAAAGGACTTAGAAGCCAGACTTCAGGAGACAGCAAAAAATCTCAGGACGTTCAAAGCCAATAGGAAGAGTGCAGATAATATAGTTGAAATGGACAGTGAGAACACGGAACCACTTACTTCACTGCACGTTAGGAATGATAATTTTCACGTAATGTTCTACAGCTCCCAAAGTGGCTAAGAATATGTACAGTCATACTTTGGTATTGACTGCTATGAAACGTGTCAAATGTGGTACACAACACTTTGATGTGAAAATTGTGCCCAGTACTCGTCTGTTTGGTACCTGACACGGAAACGAGAACTTGTCAGGGTCAAGCGCCTCATGACGCTCTATGCTTTCCACCAAAACATCTGGTTTGACAGTCACTGTTTTGAGCACTTGTCGAGAGTCCTGGGACCAATTAACGACAAGTGCCAAGGTAGCATTGTACACTGCTTACCCCCAGGCTTACCTCTATGTACACCTATTCTCTGGCCTCACCGTCACCTCCCCCTGCACACCACCCTGTCTCAGTCTATCTATTCTTTTTGGCTCCTCTATAACCTCCCACCAACATGGGTGCATGACTGTTCTCTGTGCATTATTCCACCTCAGCCAGGCCTTACAGCTGGTCCACTGATCTTGTTCTTAGCTGAAAGAAATCCCGTATTTTCAATGGTGTTTACCTCACACTTTAAAATCTACTAGGCCCCTCTGTACCCACTTTAAATTCACAAGGGATTTGCTTTCTTTCTGGGATGCAAGTTGCCTCAACACTCCCACATACTTTTTTTGAGATGGTCTTGGTATGTTGTCCAGACTGGTCTCAAACTTCTATTCAAGTGATCCTCCTGCTTCAGCCTCCCAAGTAGCTAAGACTACAAGCCTACAACAAGCCTGTGCTCCTATGCTTAGCTCAACATCCTGCTCCCTACAGAAATGTCTCTATTCTCTTGCTTTCTTTCTTTACCCTTGCTATGTACTACTTCAAGCTCAGAGCCCTTCTACCACCTGGATGTGGTGGTGCATGTCTATAATCCCAGCATTCTGGAAGGCTGAGGCAGGACAATGGGAAGTTCAAGCACAGCCTGGGCAACTCAGCAACTTAGACCCTGCTTCAAAATTTAAAAAAAAAATAAAATAAAAAGAGGTAGAGTAAGTCAGTAAGTTCACACTGTGTGTGTGTGTGTGTTTGTGTGTGTGTGTGTGTGTGTGTGTAGAAGCCCTTCTATCACGATGCAAAACATATCTCCTCACTGCTCTTGCATCTACTCTGCCCCATCCTATTGGGTCATCCCTCAACCTGGCCCACCTCCCACTTCCGCCCCTACTTAAAAGAAGAGCATACACTTCAGCCTCTCACAGTTGTATCCCCTCTCCACTTCTTACTTTTAAATGGGCGCATGTCCCAAGTCTGTCACCTCCTACTCTACACACATGACAACACTGTGACTTCAATACCGGTTTAGTATGGGCAATTCCTGACAGTAAATTTTACCCTAGCACTCTTGCCAGACCTCTATTTCTGTATTTCTAACCACCCAATAAATACAACATCATGAAGACACTCAGTGGAACTTCTGACTGACGGCCTCACACTTTATCCCTCCAGCCTCGCAAAACCTGCTTGTTTCTTGTCTTTTTCTTTCTCCCTCTGCTCATGGTGTTATCATTCTCCCAGCTACCCAGGCACCAAATCTGTATTAATTTTGCCTCCAACTCTTCTCTCGTAACACCTGATTTCTTTTGTAGTATCCCTTATGTTCATTTCATCACCATTCTCACTTCATTAAAACAGGAGCATACTACTCTTTCCTTGGGATTAGGGTAATGTTTTCCAAATTACTCTTCTGGGCTACAGCAAACATGAAAGACTGAGAGGCTGACTGATTACTTCAATCAAGCATAGGTCACTATTCTTGAAACAGGCAAGCCTAGCTAAATCAGGACTTTCAGGACTAGAAAAAACCTAAAACTTGGAGGCAGGGTCTCAGGCAGCTGGGTGTGGTGGTGCCCGGATACAGTTATATCATCAGAGGATAAGGAGGTGGGGTGAGGTGATGGATGGGACACTGATTACTCTTCCATAAGAACTAATACTATTAGCATGGGCTCCTGGTGCTTCGGAAACCTGGGTACGGGAGAGACCTGAAAGAGGCTTTGGGTTAATGGCTACTAGTCACGTTTACCCAAAGATGCAAATCTACCAAGGGACAGGACCAATGTAGCATTTAGAGAGACACTTAATCAAGTACATCTCAGTACAATACAGGTCACAAATCCCTGAGACTGTCCCCAGATTCCTAATTCTATACAAAAGAGAGGCCAGATAAATCTATGGGCTAGGGTCCAGGCTGTGGCCCCTTCCCAAAATTAGTAAGGCTGATAAAAGAACCTGGGAAGAGGGAATAAGGTGGTGATCTAGAAATACAACAAGTGGGTAACCAACCTAGTGGATAAAGCAGTGAAATGGAACGTTATCAGCAACTCACTTTATTTCTCTGGACCTTCAGCAAAATGAGAGGAGAGAGCAACATTTATTTTATCTCCCATCCTTTGTAACCAGCAGGTGAACGAAAATCAACCTGGGCAGAATTATCAGGTTGTCAAAAACTGAAGTTTTATTACTGATTAGGAAATAGCCATTAATAACCTTCCCAGTGAATATTCAGGCTCAGATTAGAGGTCAGTTGCTCAGATTAGTGTCCAATCCCTGTCACACTAATAGAGTGTAGGTTTGTATTTTCTTCTTACATTTTCTAGGGGTGAACTGTACCCGATTCTTTGGAGTATAGGTACTAGGTGGCTGGTTAACTTCTTCCCTAAGCCATGCCAGAAGACAGTAGGACTACTGAGAGGTACCTTCATTTTGGGTACATGTTGACTTTCCTTTTTTCTTTTTCTATTCTTTTTTTTTGGTCCTGGTGATTGAACTCAAGGCTTTTGTACTGAGCTATATACCTGGCCCCCTTCTTATTTTATTTTCAGACAGGTTCTCACTAAGTCACAAATTGCCCAGGTTATGCTTGGACTTGAGATCCTCCTGCCTCAGTCTCTTACACTGGTGAGATTACAGGCCTGTGCCACCATATTTAGCTCACAAATTGACCTTTCCAAGGCAATGGTCTATCAAATTTTCTGTAGTAAGGGGCTGGGAATTTAGCTCAGCGACAAAGCGCCTGTCTGGCAAGTGTAAGGTCGTGAGTTCGGTTCCTGGTACCGGAGAAGAACAAAAAACCAAAAAAACAAAACAAATTTTCTGTAGTAAGAGGTACAGGTGTTCAACTGAACCCTGTTAGGGTTCTAAAAAGCACACTACCTGAGTGTTTAGTTACCTCCTCTATTAAGACTACCAGTTGGGCCCAGTGTGGTGGTGCACACCTATAATCACAGCACTTGGGAGACTGAGGCAGGAAGACCACTGTGACTTCAAGGCCAGCCTAGGCTACACAGTGAGTTCCAGGCCAATCTGAACTACACAGTGAGACCCTGCCTCAAAAAACCACAGAGATTACCATCAATAAGAGGGTGAAAATACAAAATCAGAACAGAAACCTAGGATTCCAATTCAAAAGGGCATCCAGAGAGGCCATGTGAATGAGCAATATGATCTCCCCAAGGTTTCACAGCCTTGAGGGCATTCAGGTCGTTTGTACATGAAGAAAAGGGGTATTATAATGAACAAACTGAACAAGATGAGGATAAAATGTGATTACACAACAGGGAAAGCTCTGGAGATTCAGAGAAAAAAATTCCCTGGTTAGCAAGGAAGGAGCTGGTAGTGGTTACCACTGTAGTCTCCTGATGCATG